AAAATAGCTGGCACTGGAGCATCAGGCCCATGCCCTACCATCACTGGCAGTTGGTCAGAGTAGAGGGGGAGGCAGAACCCCCATGCACTCTGGGCCGCAACGAGTAGGAGGGCTGCTGAGAAGGGCCTTGAAGCAAGGACAATGGGCAGCAGATACTGCAGGCAGGCCTGATGGTGGCTGGATGGCTTGGCTTCCTGGCCCTATGGGGCACATTAAGATTCATGAGATTCCAGCAAAGGTAGTCAGTTACCATCCTTGTTGTGTTTATGCAAACAATCAGGCCAAATTGAATACAATAAATAAATTAGTATTTTGATGGACAGAGGGGTAATTTTAAGGAGAAAAACTCTATTTCAATAGAGGTTATTAAAACTGAAATGTTTTCTTTGTTAGAGTTTGTCTCTGCCAGGTCACAAGCCCACCTACTTCTATGCCCAGGCCTCATTGTCCCTCTGACAGGCAGCAAGGATCTCTTGGCTCTGAGAGAAACTTCTGACCCTCCTCAGCTTGAAGTAGTTACAGAAGAAAATCCAACGCCCATTTTCCCTGAAAGAATTCAGAGCCAGGATCCTTGAGGTAATATAGTAGGCAGTTAGACAGACATGAGCAGAGCAAGGACGATGGGCCAACTGGCACTGACTCCCCAGAAGCAAGAGGGAACTTGGCTGCAGACGAAGCAGCCCGGGAGGCTGCCCTAAAACCAGTGGGGCCTTTACAGATTCTAGTGACTCCTCCAGACCCTGAACTACTCATCTCACCAGTTTACTCAAGTTCTTTCAGGCTTTACAGTCTACCCAGAAAGCAGACCAGAAGCACATCTGAGATGTTCTGCCTGTATCCGGTTCATCCCTCCCAACATGGTGACTCTGTTTGGGTAAAGAAATTTGCCACCCAAGGACTGACTCCTACCTGGAAAGGACCACCCCCACGGCAGTCAAGGTCGACAGGATCCCGACGTGGCTTCATCACACTCGGCTTAAGACAGCCCCGGCAAAATAGAGAGCCCAGGACTCTTTGGACCCTCTAGAGATCATTCCAGGCCCTTATCTTATAAACAGGCCCACTGACTTTATTTGGCAAAGAATTAATTCTATCAAGCTTATAGTCCTGAGGGGTCAATATAACTCCCTCCCCAACAATGACCCAAAAGAGTCCATGATTTGACTCATGTACATAAAACCAGTGGGGAATGTGCTGGGCTGCATATCTGGCACTTCGGCCAGACGGGTCATGCTGTGCTGTCTGTTCCTAGAACACACAGATAGGAAGGTACTGACATCAGGCCAGGCCTTGAGATATGGTCTCATGGCCCCTTCCCAGCACGAAGGCCTTCTTTCTCAGAAGGCCCGGAAGTCTCATTCCAAATTTGGGAGACAAAAGACTGGAAAAAGTATAAAGAGAGTTTCCTCCATATTGGGGGGCCCAGAATTTGAAAGACACATTTTTCTCTGGGCCTCCACAAAATTTAATAATAAAATGTAACTCCTGTAGTAGTCAGCGCTGCAGTTCAGCCTCTGCTTTGGCAGGGTGCTGTGACTGTGGTCAGCTGGCCAGCTTAATAAAGGCTCTTAAATTTAAATTCTGAGTCAGTGGTGGTCTATCTCGCTGAGTGAACTCATAACAGGGTCTCTCATGCAGACCACACTTCAGGGAGAAGCCTGCACCAAGTGACCTGCCTCCTGCACTGAACTGCCTGCCTGCACTGTGTTTCTGGCATCTGGGCCAGCCTTTATAAAGGAGTTCCTGGAGTTCTAGTTCAACCAGTAGGACTGAGGCATTCCCTGTCCAATCACAGCTGTGCAGCTATATCCCATCAGCATCCTCGCTGACCAATCAGAGCAGCTCCATTCTGAACAATCAGGACAGTGTTTTTTGGAGCAATCAAACTGGGAGAATTTAGAGATGGACTAATCAGGGACGAGGGGCAGGGGCTTCTGTCTACATAAGGCAGCCCCCCTCTGGCTCAGAGAGAGCACTTTCCCTTTCCACCAAAGAAGACTATGTTTCTTCAGCTGGAGCTGCAACACCCAAGACGTCTTGCCAGGGACCCCTGCAGAGCAGACCCATCCAGATGTGAGCAGAGGGAGCAGACCAGGGCAGAGCTGTGTAGCTGGAAATGGGCCTCTCCCTGAGGCCACCTGCCCCAGGGCCGCCTCACAGCTGTGCTGTTTCACAGCCCTACTGCTTCTGAACTGAGGTGTAACGCGATTAAGCTGTTCCATGGTCCCAGCTGTGCTGTATCACAATTGAGCTCTTTGCACTGAATAAAGTTTATTGCTTCACTGCACCACAAATTGGGGATTCCTAATGGTGGTGAATTGGTGCCAATGACCATCAGTTGACATGCGGTATTTATAGAGGGGAAAGGGAGTCAAGGGAAGGGGAAGTTAGAACCATAAAGCTTTATTATGAACACTAGAGGCCCAGTTCACAAATTCATGCACGGGTGGGGTCCCTTGGGTTGGCCTATGGGGATAGGGCCCCAGCTTGTGCCCCCAGCCTCACAGCCCCAGCTCACACCCCAGCCTCACAGCCCCACAGCCCTGCCTGGCACCCCGCCTTGGCCTGGCACCGCCTGCTCACCTGCTCCACCATCCTGCTCTCATTGGGGCCCATTGGGAGCTGGCTGCACAAGTTCCACGCTGCCCCCTGGTGGTCAGCGCGTGTCATAGCAAGTGGTTGAGTGGCCTTAGCATTTCATTTCATATCACACTTTGATTGGTTGAACGGCAGACCGGACACTTAGCATATTAGGCTTTTATTATATAGGATCATTGACTATATTCCTTATGCTATGCTTATGTCCCCATGTTGTCAATCAATTTTTTAGAAATGTACCAAGTCAGTCCAAGAGAAAGAAAGTTGATTTTCACAAATGTGGCAGGAACAACTAGATAACTATATGGAAAAGTAAATCTCTACCCTTACCTGTCACCAAACATAAAAATGTATTTTTACATGGCAGGGGATGCATGGGTGGGTGGGTGGGAAGAGAGCAACCAAAAAACTTGTATGCATATATACATAACCCACGGACACAGACAATAGGGTAGTGGAGACCTGGGGTGGGAGGCGTGGTGGGATATAGTCAATGGGAGAAAAAAGCGGACATATGTAATACTTTCAACAATAAAGATTTTAAAAAAAAACGTATTTTACATGGACCATAGATCTAAACATAAAAGCTAAAGCTATAGATCTTCTAGAGGAGAAATGCAGAATATCTTTATGATGTTGGGATAATCAAATATTTCTGAAGACACCAAAAGCACTAATCATAAAAGAAAAACTTGACAAATTGGACTTCAAAATTAGAAAATATCTTCTCATCAAATGATACCATCAAAAAAGTGGAAAGGCACCCTAGCTGGTTTAGCTCAGTGGATAAAGCATTGGCATGCAGAGGGAAGGGTCCTAGGTTCTATTCCAGTCAAGGGCAAATGCCTGATTGTGGGCTCAATCCCCAGTAGGGGGCGTGCAGGAGGCAGCAGATCAATGATTCTCTCTCATCATTTATGTCACTCTCTCCCTCTCCCTTCCTTTCTGAAATCAATAAAAACATATTTAAAAAATAAGATAAATAAATAAGTGAAAAGGCAAGTCACAGTCTAGGAGAAATTATTTCCATAGTATATCTAATATAATTAATATTCAGAATATATTAAAAAACTATAAACCAATAATTAAAAACAAAGAAAAGCATTAAAGGGGACAAAATAGTTGCACACTTCACAAAAAACGATATTGGAATGGTCAATAAGTATGTGAAAAGTTGCTTAATCATCAGGGAAATGTAAATGAAACTTCATGTTATATTACTACAAACTCACTAGAATGGCCAAAATTTACAATTTTAATAGCAGTAACTGTTGGCCAGAACTTGGAGCACCTAGAATTCTTATACATTGCTGGTGGGATAAAGTGGTAGTTTTTTTTAAAACTTTTGGCAGTTTTAATTTAATTTTTTAAAAATTGTCATTGATGAGAGAAAGAGAGAGAGAGGGAGAGAGAGAGAGAGAGAGAGAGAGAGAGAGAGAGAGAGAGAGAGAAACATCGATTGGTTGTTCCACTTTTTTATGCACTCATTGGTTGATTCTTGTATGTACCCTGACTGACTAGGGATCAAACCTGCAACCCTAGAACAATGGGCCATTGCTCCAACCAACTGAGCTACCTGGCAAGGGTGGCAGTTTTAATTTTATTTATTTTTCATTTTTAAATAGATTTTTGTTGTTGAGAGTATTAGATATCTCCCATTTTCCCTCCGTTCCCCCACTCCTCTCAGTCCCTACCCACCCCCCACCCCCAGGTCTTTACCACCCTATTGCCCATGTCAATGGGCTATGCATATACATACATAAGTTCTTTGGTTTATCTCTTCTCATTCCCTCACCACTCATTGAAGTATGTCAGTCTGTTCCATGCCTCCCTGCATTGGGTCTTATTTTGTTGGTCAATTCATTTTGTTCATTAGATTCCACAAATAAGGGAGAGCATGTGATATTTGTCTTTCTCAGTTTGGCTTCTTTTACTTAGCATAATATTTTCCAGGTCCATCATGCTGTGCCAGTTTTAATTTTATACCAACACCTACTATACGACCCAGCCATTCTACTCCTAGGTATTTACCCAAGAGATATATCCACAATTGTACACAAAAAGACTTGTATAAGAATATTTTCAGCCCTAGCCGGTTTGGCTCAGTGGAAAGAGCTTTGGCTTGCGGACTGAAGGGTCCATGGTTTGATTCTGGTCAAGGGCACATGCCTGGGTTGTGGGCTCGAACCCCAGTGGGGGGCATGCAGGAGGCAGTCAATCAATGATTCTCTCATCACTGATGTTTCTATCTCTCCCTCTTCCTTCCTCTATGAAATCAATAAAAATATATATTAAAAACACGTTTTCAGAGCTTGTATATGTACATCAATTTAAAATTTATTTTTAAAATGTGAATAAATATATTTTTACACAAACAAAAATTACGTTTATCACCAGCATAAATAAAGTAAATGAACTTCTAAAAGATGTTAAAGGAGAGGGAAATTATTTCAATGCAAGAAGGGGTAGTAAACAACAAATTCTAAACACATAGCTAAATCTAAACAAAAACTGTTTCTATAAATACTAATACTCTTAATTTCAGAAGTGTAAAATATTTGACCACCAGACTATACAAGTTGGTTAGAAATGCCCTTGTAATTTAAAAATGTAAAAGTGTCCTAAGTTCCTAATGTTATTTTGGAAGGAAGAGTAAGATACTAACTTTAGGTTTTGATCATTTTGAAGAATAACTAGTTAAACAAGAGAAATAGAATGCATCACCTCCAAGATATTGAATTGGAGAGATCTCAACAGTATTGCATGTTTATTTTACTTGGAAGATGTGGATGATTTTGTTCCGGTTGTAGAGAGATGACCATTTTTTTCCCCCCATCACTGAATTCCAGTGGTTTTGCTTCGGTACTTCTACATGAATTGTACCTACTTGAAAGAAAGATAGGTAGGTAAATCTTTCTACACTCATCCATATTACCACTGCCTGCTTCCACTTCCATGGTCAAGCTATATTCTCTGCCTGTAGTATCAAACTTCTGTCTATACATCTACTAGTTGAGATTCTCCTTATCATTTGATACTCATTGCCCTGAATCTTCCATCCCTGAATTAATCATTCCCTCCTGTGACCCCCACATAGTGCTTTGTGCTTCCTTATCTGTTTATATGTTTGTCTGGAATAGCTTTTCCTTACTCCACTGACTATTTTTTAAATCTTAGCATTAAACTTAGGTATCACTTCCTTGGGAAGTTGTCCTTGAAACTCCAGGCTGAGTGACCTGCCCCTTTGGCACTGATCACAGTTGGGTTTGTTAAATGAATGAATAAAAGGATTGCTGAATAGCTATCAGAACCTAGTTGTGGTTTAACAACACAGGTTTGTAGAGGACCAGGTCTGCACAGATCTGTGTCTTTCTACAAGGATGAAAACGTTCGAATTCGTTTTTCTTCCATGGGAGACCAACAGTGCACAACAGATGTACATATTGTAAAACTCAGTTCTAACCCTGGTCCTGCCTCCAGTGACTGCACATCTCTACCAAGGCTCTGAGGAGCGACAGCTCAAACATACCTAATGTTCTGTGAGGCGAGTGGGAGGTTTGTTGGCCTCTAAGTCTTGCCGGGTATAATCCATGGATGGAAGTGATATTGGGAAAGGAGCTCCCACTGAAGCTGGAATCTATGAATTCGAATGGAAAAGAAAACAAAAAGTGAAAACTTAGTTAGTATTTAATTGCTCTCCTAATACAATAGCACCAAGAGGATAGGTAGTTCCTCCAGTCTAGAGTAATTATTACAGTTGATGGATGTCAACTGAAAGGAATGTTAAATGTCAAATGAGAGAGAGAGAGAGAGAGAGAGAGAGAGAGAGAGAGAGAGAGAGAGAGAGAAATAGATCTGTGAAGTAGTTGCTAGTGATAACGAGTGAAGTGAGAAGACCTAAAGAATAGCTCTTGAAAAGCAGGGACTCTCTATGAAAAAGAAAACTCCTACATCTCCAGGCCAATAATCCTCATGGGAAAGGGAAGGAAGGGAAGTTTATAGGTAGACATGGAACATGTTAAGTATATAATGGTATGTATGTATCTTTGATGAAATATTTTAGTTACAGGTTATGTCAGTTCATATGAACATGTAAAAGTTAAATGTGAAGGCCCAATTGGTGTGGCCCAGTGGTTGAGCATCGACCCACGCACCAAGAGGTCGCTAGTTCGATTCCAGTCAGGGCACATGCCTGGGTTGTGGGCTCAATCCTCAGTAGGGGGCGTGTAGGAGGCAGCCGATTGATGATTCTCTCTCGTCATTGATGTTTCTCATGCTCCCTCTCCCTTCCTCTCTGAAATCAATAAAAACATATTTTTTTAAATTTCATTTTCAAATGATCTGAAAAAAATTGTGATAAAAAGGTGAACATTTGGTAATTCAAGATGCTGAAGTACAGATGTTTGTTATCCTGTCTACTTTCCTGTATTTTTTACATTTTTCCAAATTGACATCAACAACAAAAACATAAGTTGAGTGAATTGGTGGTGAGATTTGCAGACTGGATGACTTCAGAGCTTCCATTATCTGTGTTACATCCCATGAAATTGATGCAATGCATCACAGCTATAAAAAGGAGAACTGGTGACTGCAAACAATGTTTAACTATGTAAAGAAAAATTCTGAATTATGAAAACATCGTCAAACAGGCAGAACAGAAATAACAGACTAAAATTAGTTAGAGAAAAGGTGGATAAAAAGCTCAAAATCAGAAAAATGCCAGATATTCCACCTGTATTAATAATTTCTCCCATGGAAGTCTTGCACAATAAGAAAAAAATCAGCCTTATTAATGTCCACTTACTTTTTACCTGCTTGATGCAAAGCAGAAGTGACCCCAAACAGCAAATGGCAAGTTAAACAAAACAAAATCAAACAACAAAAAAACCTTTGCAAAAAGAAAGGAAATATGGCAGCAAACAGTAGCTCATAACTCTTGGTAAAAACCAAGAATGTAAATTCAGTTATACTTGAATCTCTATTATGTGCATATTAGTTATTCCTATTTTGGATTATCTATTAATTCTGGAACAGTTTTCCACTTACACACATCCCTCCTCTTCCACATTTCTAGGGTCGCTTTCTCTATTCCATTTAGCTATTTCACAGTGCCTTTGTGAAAAAGAGGGTTATATAGCCCAACTGGTGTGATTCAATGGTTGAGCACTGACCTATGAACCAGGAGGTCACAGTTCAATTCCCTACTAGGGCACATGCACAGGTCGTGGGCTTGATCCCCAGTGTGGGGCATGCAGGATGCAGATGATCAATGATTCTCTCTCATCATTGATGTTTCTCTCTCTCTCTCACCCCTTCCCTTCCTTTCTGAAATCAATACAAACATATTTTTAAAAATACAAAGAAAAAGAGGGCTATTTCTTTTTCCAATGTAAGGAAAGGATACAGATGAATTACCTTCCATTTTAAATTATATATATATACACTAGAGGCCCAGTGCATAAAATTCATGCACTTGGAGGGATCCCTCAGCCTGGCCTGTGCCCTCTCGCACTCTGGGAATACTGGGGGATGTCTGACTGATGGGTTAGGTCTGCTCCCTGCCTAAGCGAGCAATCAGACATCATTAGCGCTGCCGTGGAGGCAGGAGAGGCTCCTGCCACTGCTGCTGCGTTTGCCATCTATGAGCCCGGCTTCTGGCTGAGCAGCGCTCCCCCTGTGGGAGTACACTGACCACCAGGGGGCAGCTCCTGTGTTGAGCGTCTTCCCCCTGGTGGTCAGTGCACATCATAGCAACCGGTCATAATAACATTTGGTCATTTTGCATATTAGCCTTTTATTATATAGGATCATGTTGTTTTCTGTTAGTGCAAGCCATGGGGAGTTTTTACTCTATCTCCCACTTTTGATATATTAAAAGGTTTTTTCTTACCACTCCATACACAGGCTCTTGCTCTGAATTCACTGGACAGGGTACTGGGACTGGTACCTTGAAGCAAAGTGTCAGTTACTATACAGTACAGTTTCTACTTATATTCAATAAGAAATATTATAAGATACAGAAAACATTCTATCTATTTAATATTGAGGAAAAATATAGCGAATAGTTCCTAACCAGAACAATGGTCTTTCCCTGAGCATGAGAAATTTAGGAGTTTTAAGGACTTCTAATTACTGGTATGTTGTGTTGGAAATCATAGCAGACTTCACAGGAGCTCAATTTTCCTGAGGAGTGGGAATTTGCTTGGACAACATTACACATCCAAGAGAAATATGGCCTTTTAGATAATAAATAGTTATGACTCTCCTGTTCATGCTGTATAACTAAGAAAATAACATTAGTAAACAAAACAAAAAAAATTGTCAACCACAATCTCACTACCTCCAACAAATAAAACCTTCTTAATTTTTCAATGTTCCTTCCAGTCTTTGGTTATGATATCAGTTGGGTATATGAGATAATGTGAAAAATAAAGAGAATTTGGCTTTCATCACAGCAGACAAAAAGTAGTGACATACAGTATTTAGTGCTACGAGTGTGATGTCAAATTATGCCTGGCTTTCAACCCTGATTTAGTCTCCTTGTCTATACCAGTCACAACTTTAATCCTGGTCTTCGTCTCTTTGTGTACTGCTAAGTGATGTAATATGAGAGACAGCAGTGGTCTTTGACCTTAGACTTATCCCAGAGTGCTAGAGACTGGCCAGAAGAACTTGAACAAAGAGGCAAAAATACATGTTTAATCTTGGCCAGCGTGGCTCAGTGGTTGAGCATTGACCTATGAACCAGGAGGTCATGGTTTGATTCCCGGTCAGGGCACTTATGCTCAGGTTGCAGGCTCGATCCCCAGTGCGGGGAGTGCAGGAGGAAGCTGATCAATAATTCTCTCTCATCATTGATATTTCTCTCTCTCTCTCTCCCTCTTCCTTTCTCTCTGAAATCAATAAAAATACATTTAAAAAATGCATTATTACTATCAATCTTTCAGATCTTTCCCAAAATATTCTTGTACCTTGGCTCCTCATTCTGCTATAAACATTTTTCTCCATTTTTGATACATATTATCTAAACCAAATTGGTAACTGTATCATAAATAATTTCTATTCTCACAGCTTGTGCTTTATTAACAGACACTTACTACTCAGAGTCTGATCCGTGGACCCAAAGCATCAACATCAGTTGGGAGCTGGCCAGAAATGGGGAATCTCAATCACCACCACCACCACCACTACCCACCACCCACCCACCCCCGTGAGTCACATGCATGTTGAAGCTTGAGAAAAAGAAAGTGTAGCAAGGTTCTAGAAAATTTGGTCAAGGAAGTATGCCCAGCATTTTCACAATCCCCCAGAGCCGTGGTCGGCAAACTGCAGCTCACGAGCCACATGTGGCTCTTTGGCCCCTTGAGTGTGGCTCTTCCTAAGCCTTAGGAGTACCCTAATTAAGTTAATAACAATGTACCTACCTATATAGTTTAAGTTTAAGAAATTTGGCTCTCAAAAGAAATTTCAATCGTTGTACTGTTGATATTTGGCTCTGTTGACTAATGAGTTTGCCGACCACTGCCCCAGAGCATCTTCATTATTGTTAGGGGGAGTGCTTATTCTCCCTGCCTTCCTACTTCCACATCCCTCTCTGGGTGCCGAGGAGATTTAATTTAATGCTCTGTGTTTCATAAACTAGTGGGTGGGAGTACTGTGTCACAAAATCACTACCATCACCATCACTGTCACCATCACCATCATCATACTGCTAGTGAATATTTATGGAGCACTTACTGTGACCTAGGCACCATTCGAAGCAATTTATGTGTATTACCTCATTGAATACTCACAACAATCCACTGCTCCACATCCTTTAAGTCCTTGGGGACAAATGTGTTTTGGAATTCAGAATGTTTTGTATTTTAGAAAGATGATTACAAATTACACATAGAACATATTAGTAACACCCCAAGGGAGCTAGTCTAGCACCCTGTAATCAAACACATTAATATTTCTTTAGCAAAATGCAAATCCAAAATTCATGTATGAATAATTACACTTAGTGAAATAATGACGATAGCCTCATTATAATTCAGGTAAAGTTTTCCAGCCAAAAGAGTTTGTTGCAAACTTAAAGAAAAACTTGTTTTCCAGAGATTTTTGAATTTTATTGGAGACTCTTATTTCAACTTTCAATCTATTAACAATTCCTGTCAAGTCTATCTGTATATCTATCTCTCAAATCTCTTTCTTTCCATCTACTGCCACCACTATAGCATTCTAGACCTGGCCACCCTAGATCTCTTGTTTGAATGACTTGAAAAGATTTCTGAGTTGCCCAATCTGTATCATATTTCCCTATTCCCCATCTTTCACACTCCTCCTAGACTAATCTTTCAAAAACATAAAAGTGATGCCCGGCTGGAGTGGCTCAATGGTTGAACATCAACCTCTGAACCAGGAGGTCATGGTTCAATTCCCCATGCCCAGGTTGCGGGCTCAATCCCCAGTGTGGGGCGTGCAGGAGGCAGCCGATCAATGATTCTCTCTCATCATTGATGTTTCTATCTCTCTCTCCCTCTCTCTTCCTCTCTGAAATCAATAAAGATATATTTACACACACACACACACACACACACACACACACACACACACACACACACAAAAGTGATCATGTAATAGCTTTGGCTCCCCACTGCTTATAAGATAAAACCCAAACTCCTGCACAAGATCTGGCCTGTTAAACACTCTAGCCTTATCTCTTGTTGCACCCATCATGCATTATATTATAGCCACGTAAAATTACTTACAGTTCTCCGAATAGCTCATAGAGTTTCCTGCCTTTGCTCACACTGCTCTCTCCGCTTAGAATGCCCCATTTGCCGATCAACAACTGTCAATTCACCTCATCTCCTTTTGCCTCATGTCCAGCTCCTTTATGAAGTTAACCAACCCGCCCTCTAAAGTATTCCACCTTAGCACTTATAATATTCAATGCCTCTATTTGATGCAAGGCCTTTCTTGCTACAGCTCCTATATCTTTATCTCTCGGCACACTCCCTGATACCTAGTCAGTGCTCAATAAGTGTGGAGCTAAGTCGTTGAAGTGAAGATTCTGTGATGGGGAGAGAACCACGAACCTTATGGAAGCCCTAAATTTGAATTTTCACATTTTAACTGATGAGACAGTTAGTTTAATATGTCTACAACAAATGTTAGCACAACACATTAAAACTGAGGAAAAAGAAAGCGTGTCTTTCTCTGCCCACATCCTTCATCCAAATGTCTATGCTATGTTATTCATAGATATCAAACTAATTGAAAAGAAAAATGCAAGGTAATAATACATCACACATTTTACCATGTGGAGAATGGGAGAAACAGAAACAGGATTCCAAAGGTCTGATGTGTAGTGGTAGTCCTCCATAGTCAACTGCCAGTTTAGTCTCTCAGTAAACTCCACCTCTGAAGATTGATGGCAATTCATGTCAGATCTAAAGTGGGATTTATAAAATAGAGACAGAGTTAAGGAAGCATGGAACAGACTGAGGAATCTCAGAGGGAAGTGGCGGGGGAGCGGGAAGAGATTCACCAAAGAACATATATGCATAACACATGGACACAGACAATAGTGCTGTAGGCCCGGGAGGGGGCGAGGACAGGGTGGAGGGGGAAAAGGAGGGGGCATCTGTAATACTTTCAACAATAAAGATAAATTTTAAAAAAATAAACTGGGACTGGGGCGGGGGAGGAGACATATGTCATACTTTAAAGAATAAAGAATTCAACAAAAATAAATAAAGTGGGGTTTATAAATCAGCCCATCTGGGAGAATGACAAACCTAGCATTTAAACATCTAGCTAGGATATATCCTTTGAGACAATATTTATGCTTACCAACAGGTAAGAGATAGTAGGAAGGCGTCACAAACAGCCAAAAAAAAAGGCCACTGGCTATTTTCTATATGAAATTATGTTATCATTACAAACTAAATGTTTCAGTTTAAGTATGCTAGAGAATGCCAAATTAAAATTCAATAGAAGCAGTTTCCCATAAATAAAGTGACTTGAATGGATACATTTTAGTCTAAACTATTTTAATAGTTTTCGAGAAAATAAAAACGAGGAGTCTGCACAATGGGGGGTCAAAAGGGCACAAGAACTGAATTCTGAGCCCCACCAGGCTATTCACTAGCTTAATAACAGGGGTGGGGAACCTTTTTTCTGCCAAGGGCCATTTGGATATTTATGCTATCATTCGAGGGCCATGCAAAATTATCAGTTTAAAAATTAGCCTGCTGTATTTGGTCAAACCTTTCATTAACTCACCCCTAATGCCTTGGCAGGACCAGACCACATGATTTCTCGGGCCTTATACGGACGTTCCCCACCCCTGCTGTATAACCTTGATTAGATAACTCAACCTCCTTATTTGTAATTGGGGATAAACAATGCTTCCCTATCTACTTCATAGCATTAGAGTTATTAGTTATGAGAAAAATGATGCCATAAAGAAAATATTATGTATAAATAAAAGAATAAATAGAAAGAAAAGGAAACAAACTCTTATTGGACATCTCTTCTTGCCAGGCTCTATTACATGTTTTCACAATCTTAAGTTTATCATTTAATTTTCATAACAACCATGTGAAGTGAGTAATATAAATTCTCATTGTATGGAAGACCAAACTGAGTCTCAGAGAAGGCAATTCTGTTGCTAAAGATCCTACAGTTAATTAATGGCAGGACTAGGAGCCTACTCTCGAACACATCTGTCCTGGGACTCTATATCCTTCTGTTCCAATCTAAACTGGCTGCTGTATCAATGTCGCCCTGGGACCTCCATCATTGTTGTATTGTGACTTCCCTTCGCCTCTCACTTAAGAAAGGCTGGCTCTGTTTCCCTGAACCTCATGTGTTCCTCTTTCTTAGCTTACTTTTCCAGTTTGCTGGAGCACACCCTGTAGGAGCTTCCTGAGCGAAGGTGCACAATAGGATTTTTAACAAAGATTTGGGGTGTCTGAACATGTTTATCTCTTGCATTTGGTTGAGAGCTTGTCTGAGTACAGATTTTTATTTTATTTTTTAAATTAGTTTTTCTGAACTTTTTGTTGTTGTTAATCCTCACCTGAGGATATTTTTTTTTCCATTGAGAAAGTAAGGGAGGGGGGAGGAAGGGAGGGAGAGAGCGAGAGCGAGAGCGAGAGCGAGAGAGAGAGAGACATTGATGTGAGATACCCATCAGTTGCCCTTCCCACACTCATCCCCATGGGAATGGAACCCACAACCTGGGTATGTGCCATCACAGGGAATCAAACTTGCCACCTTTTGGTGCACAGGACGAAGCTCAAACCAACTGAGCCACACCGGCCAGGGCTGAGTAATGAATTTTAGATTGGAAGTAAATTTCACTAAAAATTTTTAAAAGGTTGAAGTGTTGTCTTCCAGCTTCCAGTGTTATTATTTAAAGGTCCAGTGCTACATTTATTCCTGATCCATTGTTTGTATTTTCTTTTCGTCAATCCTTGACACATGCCTGCTCTATTCAACCTCTTCAATTTTAGGATGTTTTGAAAGTTCAATTCTGGACCTACCATTATCCTCTTTGTTCTCTAACAAGATGAGTTAATTTAGTCTTATGGCTTTAACTACTACATTTACAACTCACACGTTTTAAAAATTTATCTTTATCGTTGAAAGTATTACAGATGTTCCCTTCCCCCCCCCCCCCGCATTGACTCCCTCCACCTTGCTCCCGCCCCTTCCGCAGGCCTTCACTGCACTACTGTCAAGCTCTTTGGTTAATCTCTTCCCACCCCCCTTCCCTCTGGAATTCATCAGTCTGTTGCATGCTTCAATGACTCTGGATCTATTTTGTTAGATTCCACATATAAGTGAGATCATGTGATACTTGTCTTTCTCTGACTGGCTCATTTCGCTTAGTATAACCATCTCCAGGTCCCTCCATGCTGTCTCAAAGAGTAAGAGATCCTTCTTTTTTATAGTTGTTCTAGAGGCCCGATGCATGCGAAATTTGTGCAAGGGGCTCAGCCCTTGCTGGTGTGATGGCTTGCCTCAGCCCTTGCAGTCCTGGCTTCGTCCAGAAGGACATCTGGAAGGTCGTTCAGCTGTCCGGTCTAATTAGCATATGACACTTTTATTATTATAGATAGTATTCCGTTGTGTAAATGTATCACAGCTTTTTTATCCACTCATCCACTGATGGGCACTTGGGCTGTTTCCAGATCTTAGCTATTATAAATAGCACTACTATGAACATAGGGTTGCATACATTCTTTCTGATTGGTGTTTCAGACTTCTTAGGATATATTCCTAGAAGTGGGATCACTGGGTCAAATGGGAGTTCCACTTTAATTTTTTGAGGAAACTCCATACTGTTTTCCATAGTGGCTGCACCAGTCTGAATTCCCACCAACAATGTACTAGGGTTCCCTTTTCTCCACATCCTTGCCAGCACTTGTCATTTGTTGATTTGGTGATGATAGCCATACTGGCAGGTATGAGGTGATACCTCATTGTCATTTTAATTTGTATCTCTCTGATGATTAGTGACTGAGCATTTTTTCATCTCTCTTTGCCATCTTTATGTCATCTTTGGAGCAATGTCTATTTAGGTCCTTTGCTCAGTTTTTAATTGGACTGTTCGTCTTCCTCTTGTATGGGTTCTTTATATATTTTGGAAATTAACCACTTATCAGATGCATCATTGGCAAATATGTTCTCCCATACAGTCGGCTCCCTTTTCATTTTCTAGATGGCTTCTTTAGCTGTGCAGAAGCATTTTATTTTGATGAAGTTCCATTTTTAAGTTTTTTCCCTTGCCCTAGATGTATCAGCAAACACTGCTATGAGGGATGTCTGAGATTTTGCTGCCTATGGTTTCTTCTAGGATTTTTATGGTTTCACGACTTACATTTAAGTCTCACAAATTTTTATCTCCAACCTTAATATTCAGATTCATATGTCTACCTGCCTCTTGGATGTCTAATACATATGTTAATCATGTCAAAATGGAACTTAATTCAACTTAAAACTCTTTCTCATCCTAATATGTGACACCATCATCCCTATAATAGTGCAAGCCAAAAACCTAAGCACCAATCCCTTAATCTCTTTCCCTCTCACCTCTAATACCCAGTGCTATCAATTCTACCTCCAAAACACGTCCAAGACAAATCACTTTTCATTATACCACCTCCATGACAACAGTCCAGGGTGTTTCACTTGGCATGCTCCAAGAGAAAAGCAGCAGTCTGTACAGGTAGTGGAATTTTAAAATATATTCCTGGATTTTATTTGGGAATATTTTATGTAGAATTCTGACATCTATAATAAATGAGATTGATCAGCAGTTTCCTCTCTTTGCTGTACTTTGATATTAAAGTTACACCATTTCATACATTGAATTGTAGATCTTGCCTTTTTCTCAATAGCCTGGAATTGAAATTTCCTCATCTTTAAGGGCTAACATTCAACCATGAACCCAGGATGCATTGGCCAATCTTCAATACCTTCTTCAAAAACTTACGTGATGATTGCTGTCTGTATGCTTCCACTTCTTCTCAGATGAATTTGTCATTTCTATTTTGCTTGGAAATCATCACGTTTCACTAGATTTTCAACTATGTTGTTGCCAAACAGTTGCAGAGTATTCACTTATATTTTAATCTCTCCTACATCAGCTCTCTTATTCCTCATGTTATAGACTTTTACATTCTCTTTCTGTTTAATCAGAGGAGTTCATTTTACTGAACTTTACAAAGAAATGTTTTAGGTTTATTAGTTTTTGTTTGCAATTTTATAAACTTAAGATTTTATTTTTATAAATGTTATCATCCTAATACATATTTATTTTATATCTATTTTCTTACTATAAAAACTATATTATTGTTAATTTCTCTTTTTTTGAACAATGATAAAATTCTGAGTTTATCTTTCACAGTGGTCCATTAGCTTTGGTATAGAGTACTCTTTTTCATTGCCTCTACATAGTAGATAACTTTCTTTTGGTTTCCTCTTTGGCAAAAGGATTATATTTTAAAATTTATTAGTAGTTAAGATTGTCATGGTAACTATTTATTATTTCTAATTTGATTGGATTATGAGAAAATGTAGCCTGTAAAACTGTTGAGTGTTTAGTTAAGCTTTTCTTTGTGAATGCTTGGAAGAAAATGAACATTCTGCGTTTCTGTGTGTGTGCACAAGTAAGTTTATTATTTACTTACTATGTATTATTCAGGTTCTTCTGTGTCCTTATTTGTATTTTGTCTATTTGATCTAATAATGAATGAGGTGGTTTGCAACCACCCATTACTACTGCATCCTTCTCCATGTATTTCTAATAATCTCAGCTTTATGTATTTAGCTTTGTGTATAAGCTATTAAAACTTCTAGCCCCATAGATAGTGCCTTTTATCATTAAATGATATCCCTCTTTATTCTGTTAGTGCTTTTAACCTTACAATCCACATTATTAATATTGTTAATATTTTTTCCTGCCTTCCTTTGGTTTCCATGTGTCTGCTGGGGGTGCTGAAAATGTAGCTATTAACTCAATGAAATAATGTTGATTATCATGTAATGCTAATCTGGTAGTTTTATTGTCTTTGTTTATAAAATAAAATATGAGTATTACTGATTCAATACAGTCTATATAATAAAGAAAAGAACCAAAAATACAAAGAACTATGAAGAGTGCCAATATTTAAGACATGATTAGAAAAAGAAGATCCTTTACATGAACCATAAAGGGATTGTCAGAGGGGTAGAAGGAGAACCACGCAATACAGAATACTTTAACCAAGAACTTTACCTACAAAAATTGGGTTAGTATATAACCAATAAATTTCCTACTTTAAGTAAAAACTCACATACTATAGAGTTTTATAACAAATTATTCCTATATCGAAATCAAAAATAACTATTTTTCTAATTGTTACTCTCATGTGTGCCTTCCTCTCACACATACTTATTGGCTATCTTTTTTTAAATAAAAACTTACTTGTTGACTGGGATTTCTTCAAGTTTAAAATCTGTTTTACAAAACAAACACAAATCTTACATTATTTTTGTGTGAATACTTTTTCTTAAAATGTATTTTAAAATAATATATATATATGTAAAAATATTAATTAATTAATTCACATGTACTTTCTACAAGGTTAGCAAATGAGTCATCCAGCTTGTTTTCTGTGCTTGCTCCATGACGATGTCTGGTTTTAATAGGTTTGTGACCTTATGATGGTAATATTGGTTGTAACATATCATGTAGACAAAATAACCTGAAAATAAAAGACAGAAATTAGGTGAAACTCTAAAGCAAATTTATATCAACACACTAATTACTTATATGTACCTTTCCATTACAAACGAACAGGACCTCAAATTATTAGGTTAGTGAGTATAAAAATAAAGTCATGTTAAATTATTCATTAAATACATTTTAATTGAGCATCTCTTATCTGCCAGACCCTGTATTAACTAGGTGGTAAAGATACAGCAGTGAGTAAAAAAGATAAAAAGCCCTGTCTTGGTATAGTTTTCATTCTACTTGGAGACAGAAAATAACCAAGACAAATAAAGCACATACTATGTTAGAGTGTGATAAATGCAAAAGAAAAAATATCAGGGAAATGGGCATGATATGTGCTGGAGGGTGGGGATACTTAAATTTCATATTTTAAATATATTTTTATTGATTTCAGAGAGGAAGGGAGAGGGAGAGAGACAAACATCAATGATGAGAGAATCACTAATCAGCTGTCTCCTGCATGCCTCCACTGGGGATCGAGCCTGCAACCCAGGGAATGTGCCCTGACTGGGAATTGAACCGTGACCTACTGGCTTAGAGGTCGATGTTCAACCACTGAGCCACATTGGCCGGGTGGAATACTTAAATTTCAGATAGGAAAGGCTCACTGAGAAAGGGACTTTTAAGTAAAGAACTGAAGGGTGTGAAAGACTGAACCGTGTAAATCCAGCAGAAGGAACAGCATGAACAAAGGCTCTAAGGGAAGCAGAGTGGTTAGTGTGTTTAAAGAATAGTGAAGAGGCCAATATATCTAGAATCAGAATGATCAAAGGAGTTAGTCATTAACTGAGATGGAAAAAGCAAGTTTGGGGTAGGGTATCAGGAGCTTAGTTTGGGACATATTGAATTTTGAACCCCTGTCACACATTCAAGTGAAACCACTGAAGAAATACAATTCTGGCCCAGCTGGCATGGCTCAGTGGTTGAGTGTTGATCTATGAACCAGGAGGTCACGGTTCGGGTTTCAGGCTCAATCCTCAATGTGGGGTGTGCAGGAGGCAGCCGATCAATGATTTTTCTCTCATCATTGATGTTTCTATCTCTTTCTCCCTCTCCCTTCCTCTCTGGAATCAATAATGATATTTAAAAAAGAAAGAAGCCCTAACTGGTTTGGCTCAATGGATAGAGCGTCGGCCTGCGGACTGAAAGGTCCCAGGTTCGATTCCAGTCAAGGGCATGTACCTTAGTTGCGGGCACATCCCCAGTAGGAGGTGTGTAGGAGGTAGCTGATGATGTTTCTCTCTCATCAGTGTTTCTAGCTCTCTATCCCTCTCTCTTCCTCTCTGTAAAAAATCAATAAAATATGTTTTAAAAAAGAAAGAAATGCAGTTCTGGAATTCAGGAGGAATGGCTGTAGCTGGAGATACTAATTAGGGAGTTCTTACCATGTGAATGGTACTTAAGGTCATTTAGGAAATGAGTAAATTATAGATAAAGAGAAACAAGGATGAATCCGTGAAAAAAAAAGTCTTTATAAAAAGAAGCCAAGAGTCTGATAAGAAGAAAACCAAGAGGCAAACTGAAGAACGTGTATCAAAGATGAGGAAGTGATGAATTATGTCCAATGCTGTTGAGGCATCCCAGTAAGATGAAAACTGAGAAATTACCATTGGATTTTGCAATATGGATGTCACTGGTGACTTTGACAAGAACCATTTTAGTGGTTTGGTGGGTACAAAAGCCTGATTTGTATTCCCTAACTATTTAAAGTACTTAAAGTAATTCAAAAGCAAATAGGGGAACTATTAACACACCTTTCTTAGTAATTGGGCATATGCTCAAGTTGTGGGCTCGATCCCCAGTGTGGGGTGTGCAGGAGGCAGCCGATCAATGAGTCTCTCTCATCATTAATGTTTCTATCCCTCTCTCCCTCTCCCTTTCTCTCTGAAATCAATAAAAATATTTTTAAAAAAGAGAGAAAACATGGTTTCAGCTAGCCACACAATTTTCAACAGAACTAGTTCAAGCAATGAGTGTTAAGCAACCAGGGCCAAGTGCTCAGGGTAGCATGCGTGGAGTTCACCAGTTTGAGTCTGTTGGTAATCAGGCCCATCTATACTAATAAAAGGGCAATATGCTAATTAGACCAGGTCAACTGACCATCTTCCAGATGTCTGACTTCCTTCTGGACAAAGCCATGATGGTGAGACCAGCAGGGGAGGGCAGTTGGGGGCTACCAGGCTGGTGGGGAGGGCAGTTGGGGGCAACCAAGCCAGCAGGGGGGGGAGCAATTGGGTGCAATCAGGCCAGCAGGGGAGCAATTAGGGGTGATCAGGCAAGCAGGCAGAGGTGGTTAGGGGCAATCAGGCAGGCAGGCAGAGTGGTTAAGGGCAATCAGGCAGGCAGGCAGGTGAGCGGTTAGGAACCAGTGATCCCAGATTGCGAGAAGGATGTCTGACTGCTGGTTTAGGCCTGATCCCATAGGGGTCGGGCCTAAACCGGCAGTCAGACATCCCCCAAGGGGTCCTGGATTGGAGAGGGTGCAGGCTGGGCTGAGGGAACCTGCCCCCCCCCCGCCATGCACAAATTCCATGCACTGGGCCTCTAGTAGGTCTTTATAATAGCGTGGGAGTAGCTCCCCTACTCCCCCTTTACTCTACTTGGGATTCACATCCACAGCAGACTGAATCCACAGCTTGTTAACCACTATGTTTGTAATATCTGCTGTAAACACTAATGATTCCCAAACCATAGGGACTCAGAAAAATAGTCATTCTTTTGGAAATGACGCAAATGTATAGTTTTTGCTATATATGTGGTTTGACTCAAAGGACTTACATTCATCATAGTTTGAGTTAAACTCACCATTGAAATTTCAGGTGTATCCATTGAGAATATGCACAAAAGAAAAAGAAAAACATTTAAAATAGATACAGTTTAAATCTTTTCATTAAATTAAGAACTATAATTCAGATGCATATAAACCCTACGATAATATAGCTCATTATTACATGGATTTGTGTCTAAAGGATCAAGTAACATTATTGAAATACAATCACCCATTAAAAAATAAAATATGGATAGCCACCTGTCAGAATGGTTATCATCAACAAATCAACAAACGACAAGTGCTGGAGAGGATGCAGAGAAAAAGGAACCCTCATGCACTGCTGGTGGGAATGCAGACTGGTGCAACCACTATGGAAGACCGTATGGAGTTTCCTCAAAAAGTTAAAAATGGAACTCCCATTTGACCCAGTAATCCCACTCCTAGGAATATATCCCAAGAAACCAGAAACACCAATCAGAAAGGATATATGCATTCCTATGTTCATAGCAGCACAATTTACCATAGCTAAGATCTGGAAACAACGTAAGTGCCCATCATCGGATGAATGGATTAGAAAACTGTGGTACATCTACACAATGGAATATTATGCTGCTGTAAAAAGAAAGGAATTCTTACCATTTGCAACAGCATGGATGGAACTGGAGAGCATTATGCTAAGTGAAATAAGCCAGTCAGAGAAAGAAAAATACCACATGATCTCACTCATTTATGGATAATAAAGACCATTATAAACTTATGAACAAAAATAGATACAGAGGCAGAGCAGCATCGAACAGACTGTCAAACTACAGCAGGAAGGCCGGGGAGGGCTGGGTGGGGGAGGGGGTTAAGAGATCAACCAAAGGACTTGTATGCATGCATAGAAGCATAACCAATGGACACAAGACACTGGGGGTAGGGGAGGCCAGGGGAAGGTCAAGGGAAGAAAAAGAGAGAGAGAGAGACATATGGACCACTCTTTGTAATATTTTAAGCAATAAAACAAAATTTTAAAAAATATAGAATATGGTTGATTATGAGCAGTCATATGAGTAAATGTATAGCAACAAGCTCTCCAGAAAAAAAGGCCTGTTTTGTAGTGTTTGTCTATTCCTGTGGTGTAAATATTTCTATCATGGCCAATTTCAAGTGACTAATGTGACATCAAACAGCTTACAAAATTCGTGAAATTTTACGAATGGGCTCTTGTAAACTGGTATGAACTGTATCTAGTACACCCGTAAATTATAAAGCAAACTAGACTTAAGAAGTTACAGTATGCCTTAGCCGGTTTTGCTCAGTGGATAGAGCATCAGTCTGCGGACTGAAGGGTCCCAGGTTTGATTTCGGTCAAGGGCATATGCCCAGGTTGCGGGCTTGATACCCAGTAGGGGGCATGCAGGAGGCAGCCGATCAATGATTCTCTCTCATCATTGGTGTTTCTATCTCTTTTTCACTCTCCCTTCCTCTCTGAAATCAATAAAAATATTTTTAAAAGGAAATTACAATATATCACACTGTATGTATGTATTAATGTGTTTCTTTGCAAAATTTTTATTTTAATTAGTAATCATTTGCATGTACAAAATTCAAAAATTACAAAATGGTATACAGTGAAGACTCTTTCACCCATCTCTTATCTTGAGCCACTAAGTTCTGCTTGGAGAAAGGGTATTTTATTCATTTATTGTATATAGAAATGATAAACATATATTCTCTTTCTGTTTTGAAAAACAAAGATGGTAGCATACTATACTTTGTTTCACATCTTGCTCATATTCCATTTAACAATAAATCTTGGATATCATTCCATTTCAGTACATAAAAACAAGGCCCCTATTCATAGTCATTTTGCTATTACAATGCTGCAATGGATATCCTTGTGCATTCATCATTTCAAAACTCTGAATATATATATGTGATAAATATATAGATTAATATTAGATAAGTTCCTAGAAGTGAAATTGCTAGGTTAAAGAGGAAGCAGACCTAGTAGGTGGTTATGCAGTGGAAAAATTAAAGATTCCACTGTTGGAGTAATCCTGTCCTCAATTATTACTGACATTCATACAATATAATCATATTATATTACATAATCATACACTATATTACCTGAAAACCAATTTTGCCTTGATGAAACTTTCATAATTGAACTCTTTGAGATGGAGTGAATCAATGAGTGCTGGAGACTTAAGAGATCACAAGAAAGATGAGGCACATGAGAATAAATAGAATGACATACAGTATAAACTACCCAACTGAATCTACATTTCTTTAATTCACCCATCTATCCATTCATCTATCAATCCATCCAACCGTATACTAACTACACATCTAACTGTGATGAAGAGATAATTAAGAAATAGTCAATAGACCTGTTGTCTAATAGAAGGTGGTAATATAAATTAATTACAATCAACATAACCTAAAGAGGAATGAATGCATAATGCATGACCCTTATAGAAATTTTGGACAATACTGAAAAGTACAAAAAAGAAAATTGAAATCAACCAGAATTTTCCACTCAGAAATAGCTCATGGGAATAGTTCCAAGTGGTGTACCGAAAATCTGTATTATTCAATGCATATGTATATGCATATATGGAGGGGTGCACGAGTGTCTATGTGTATATATGCATATATGCCTTGAATGTTATTATGAATACTGTTTTATGGATAAACAGTTTGCTATACCATTAAATAATTGTCTATAACAGTTATTCTCACTAGGGAAGTCCTTAAGGGAGGAAATCAAATTATTCAAAAGAGGTGGCTAATCCAGTCCCAACCTCTGACTTTGAGACTCACTCAGTGTAATAAAAGACATTCCTTTGGGAAACAATCACCCTTGTGAAGAGGATGGAATCCCACAAAAGACTGAAAAACGCTATTCTGTATTATAACTTAAAATCACTGCATAATATTCCATCATATTCGAAGCCCATAATTTATTTAGTCACTCTCATGTTGTTAAAATGAGGGAAATTATTTAGAGGAAAACAAAATTAACCTATACTGAGACATTTATTAACTTACCTGTAAGGAGGAAAAACTTCATTTTTCTCGTCCAATGAAGCTAAGTGCTGTTTTAGTGCTTCAAGTAAACTGTTGGGTGCCTAAAAAGGAAGTTATTGTGAAAGAGTTATTTACTGATAGTTGTGTTTTTTTTTTAGCAAATTCATACTCTCCTATATCATTAAAAGGTTTTGAAAAAAATTAGGACACCTGTGTAGCAAATTCATTAAAGCTAACGAATTGCTATAAATAAATTCATTATTAAAAGTGACCTCTTGGGCCCAGCTGATGTGGCTCAGTAGTTGAGCATCGACCTATGAACCAGAAGGTCACAGTTCGATTCCCAGTCAGGGCACATGCCAGGTTGTAGGCTCAATACACAGTAGGAGGTATGCAGGAGGCAGCCAATCGATAATTCTCTCTCATCGTTGATGTTTCTATCTCTCTCTCCCTGTCCCTTCCTCTCTGAAATCAATAAAAGTATAGCTTTTAAAAAGTGATCTCTTGTTAGCAAATCAGATTTTCAAACTGCTTTTATGTACATTTTTTAAAAACAACAGGAAAAAAAAAAGCTTCTTAAAATGATCAAAGAACTGCCCTAACTGGTTTGGCTCAGTGGACAGAGCATTGGCCTGTGGACTGAAGTGTCCCAGGCTCGATTACAGTCAAGGACATGTACCTTGGTTGTGGGCACATCCCCAGTAGAGGGTGTGCGGGAGGCAGCTGATCGATGTTTCTCTCTCATCAATGTTTCTCTCTATCCTTCTCCCTTCCTCTCTGTAAAAAATCAATAAAAATTTTTAAAAAATGATCAAAGAACTGCTAAAATATCTATCCCCTTTGGAGAAGACATTGGGCTTGAAATCATTTATTATTTGTGGTTCCTTCATGAATCACCAGATCATAAAATAAATTTAAGTATAACATTAAGGAAAAGAGGGTGAAGGGGAGAGAAAGAAACTGAGAGCTAGAGAAAGGAAGAAAAAAAAAAGAGAGAGGATCTCACTCATATTAGCAAATTTAATCGCAGTTTCTGGCCTCTGCTGGAATGTTACCCCCTCAACAGAGATTTCCTTGACTATCCTATATAGAACAGTACCTACCAAGTCTCTTTACCCTCACTATGTTTGATTTTTCTTCATAGCATTCACCTTTACTGAAATTATAGGTTTATCTCTCTGTATGTTTATTATTAACCACAAGGGGAGTGCCGCTCAGCCACAAGCGGACCTAAGCCAGCAGTCGGACATCCATTGAGGCCTCCCAGATTGCAAGAGGGCGCAGGCCAGGCTAAGGGACCTCCCCCCCCCCCCCCGCCCAAGTGCACAAATTTCATGCACTGGGATTCTAGTCAATGATAAATGTCGTTGGGTGAGGATTAACAACAAAAAAACACATAGTTTAGTTGTTATACTATGAGTCACCATTTAGCACTCAACGGGGAACAGCCTCTTTATAAGACCAACAGCTCACAGACCTATTCAGAAGACCTAAGTCTATGTGTATATACCAGTGATTTTCAACTGGTGTGCCACAATTTTTAAAACATGCCAATACCTGACTGTTTTGTTTGGAGCACTGACCTCTTTTCCCTTGGATTGTCAAATTTAAAAAAATAACAACAGCCAACACAGCAATAGCCATGCGATGTGAATGAATCAAAATTATACCTTTTTTTTGTCAGAGCAACCAAAAATATATTTTTTTGGTGTGCCACAGAATTTTAGTAATTAGTTTATGTGTGTCATGAAATTAAAAAGGCTGAAAATTGTTGGTATATACATATGTTATTCATGGGGAAATGAAAACACACATATAGGTATACTAGTGGCCCAGAGCACGGAATTCGTGCACATTAAAAGGGAATTAATTAGAGGAAATATTTTAATATTGTTATTTGTTCTTTCTCTATATTAGAAGTGTCAGAGATGAAAGAAAATTAGTAAAATGCATATGAAAATCTCCCTCCTGTCAGAGTCTGGGGTGCACCGCAGGACCCAGAGTCAAGTCCCCACCCACCACCTACACGCACTTCGAAAACGCAGGAAACCCAGACCTGGCCAGCCCCACCCTCACTGGGTGAGACCCAGACCCGGCCAGCCCCACCCCCATCAAGCCCCTTCAGGTGGGGGGCACAGCCTCAGGTCCCCCAGCCCGGCGCTGGGTGACAGGTGCAGTCTCAGGTCCCCTGTCAAGCCCCACAGGGCGGGGGTCACAGCCTGAGGTCCCCCGACCCGGCACTGGGGCAGGGGAGGCATGGCCTGAGGTCCCATCTCAAGCCCCGCTGGGCGGGGGGTGTGGCCTGAGGTCCCACAGCCTGGCACTGGGGCGAAGGCCGTGGCCTGAGGTCCCCCATCAAGCCTTGCCAGGCAGAGGGCACAGCCTGAGGTCCCCCAGCCCGGCGCTGGGGTCGGGGGCATGACCTAAGGCAGGGGTTCTCAACCTGTGGATTGTGACCCCTTTGGGGGTCGAACGACCCTTTCACAGGGGTCGCCTAAATACATCCTGCATATCAGATATTTACATCACGATTCATAACAGTAGCAAAATTACAGTTATGAAGTAGCAACGAAAATAATTTTATGGTTGGGGGGTCACCACAATATGAGGAACTGTATTAAAGGGTCGCGGCATTAGGAAGATTGAGAACCACTGGCCTAAGGTCTCTTGGCCCAGTGCCAGGGCAGGGGGCATGGCCTGAGGTCTCCCGGCCCAGTGCTGGGGCGGGGGCCGTGGCCTGAGGTCCCTCGCCCTGGCCAGGCAACATGCAGCCTCAGGTCCCTACTGTGTTTGGTCATGACATTAAGGCATCCTGGCTAATTTGCATATTCCTCTACTATTATATAGGATGGCAAAGGATGGAGTCTCAGATTATGATTAACATAACAAACATACAAACATAAGGATGGAGAAGTCATTTGAATACATAGGAGAGATACACTGACCTGAGCAAGATATGGAATGTTGTTCTGGTCGATTCCAACTTGCTGAATTCACATAAAGGGGGGAAAGGACACATTATATATATATGATTCTCATGATTGATGATTCTCATCATGGATGTTTCTATCTCTCTATCCCACTCCCTTCCTCTCTGAAATCAATATACATATATAATTTTTTTAAAGAAATCCTTGTAAGATTACTATTGTGCACAAGTGCATTTGGATAGTACATTTGAGGGACTTAATGTTAGTTTTTTTTTTTTTTTTTAGTTTTACTGTTTACAAAATAGTTAAAACTAATACGAATTTCTGTGTGTTTGTGTGGTGGTGGTGGTAGTAGGAGGGGAAAGTTATGTTGGATATTAAACTAATATAGAAAATAGAAAAGCTTTGGATAGAAAGAGTTGTATACCTCTGCAACCTTCAGGAACTGTTCAAATTTGGTTGTTCCTGCGAGGAACTGGATGTACATGTCCAGACTTTCGTTGCACTGGCGCTTCGTCATGTGAAAGAACTTGTCTAAAAATAGAAAAAAATTGCCATGAAGGAGCCAATAACTTAGGAATTTTCAAGTTTCACTCCATTCTAATGATACTATTTTAAGCTGATTTTGGATGTGAATTTAACTTATACTTAATAGTTTTAAAAAGATGTATCTTTATTTTGAAAGTATTGCAGATGCCCCCTCCCTTTTTTTCCCATTGACCCCCTCCACCCCCCACCCGCCCCCCCTCCCAGGACTTCATGGGCAAAATAATTATAGTTTTAACCCAGTTATTTTCTGTTTTAAAAAAACAACACTACTCAATATATATATTTAAAAGATTTTTATGGGGTAACTACTGCCTGCCAAACACTGGTGCTGAAAATACACCTAGAATTGTTAAAAAGATGTTTTTATTGTTTTCAGAGAGAGGAAGGAATAGGGAGAGAGAGAAACATCAATGATGAGAGAATCATGATCGGCTGTCTACTGGGGCTCGAGCCCACAACCTGGGCATGTGCTTTGACTGGGAATTGAACCATGACCTCCTGGTTCATAGGTCAATGTTCAACCACTGAGCCACACCAGCTGGGCACATCTAGAATTTAATAGCATAGAGGTTTTTTTGGATAATTTAGATTCAATTTCTACAACTTCTAGTATGTAATCATTTTGAATTCTCTCAGGGAAGAGGCTGTGCTTCCCACTCTTTTATAACTCTATAAACGTGCTAGGTACTTTTAAGTGTAAGAAAAATCTCAAATTCTCATCAATGAAGTCTGGAGAACCCTTCCTATGAAATAATTCACTAGGGTGAAATAATGACAGATAATTCATGAAAAGACTAAGAAATATATGCCTGTATTAAAAAAAAAACAATTACTTATTATTTTCCTAGAAAAATCAGAACTGTATTTTTGACCTTGGTGGAGTGGGCCTTAATGCAGAAAGATGGCAACCCATGTTGATTCCCTAGTAAATTTCTCCAAAATGTCAGTTAGCACATAAAAATACTGAAAAGTTCTGTGGCTAATTAAGCAAATTTTTAATCAAAAGAACAATATAATGTCTCATTATTTAAAAATATATATGATCATGCAACTATCCTCTATTTTGAACCTAAAACAAATGAGTCTACTTATATGCATATATGCATAACCCATGGCTGCAGACAATGGGGTGATGAGGGCCTGGGGTGGGGGGTGGACGTGGGCTGGAGGGTGTCAATGGGGGGGGAGATTACATATGTAATACTTTCAACAATAAAGATTTCTAAAAAATAAAAAAATAATAAAATAAAAAGTAAAAAAACAGGAAAAAAATAAAACAAATGAGTCTAAATATAGACGTAAAGATTTTTATAAATAAATTGTTTTACCAGTTTTTAAAAGTATGTAATGTTTATTCTTTAGCCTACCTAGCACATTGAGAATTCCCTCATTATAGGCTGCAAAGAGGCGAAGAGAATCCTTAAAGAGGAGCATGAAAGCAGCATGTATTATACGATTAGTTAGTTCATTTGCATTTGCCTGGAAATTAAGTAAAAGAGTAATCAATTATCACCACAGTTAAAAAAAATTTCTTCCCCCACCTACAAACAATGCCATCTACACTAATAAAAGAGAAAAATGGTAATTGGCGTACGACGCTACCCTTTTCATTGGCTAATCAGGGCTATATGCAAATTAACTGCCAACAAGATGGCGGTTAATTTGCATATGTAGGCACAATGCAGGGAGGTAAAAGGGAAAGCAGGAAGAAGCCCCCTGCCACTGACAGTGATCGGAAACCCAGGGGGGAGCTAAGAGGTGGGGGGCATAGAGCCCCCCAGCCATGATCGGAGAATCAGGTGCCTTTTCCGCCCTGGCCAGTGATAGCAGGAAGTAGGGGTGGAGCCAGCGATGGGATCTGGGCACAGTCGAAGCTGGCAGTCCCGGGAGCTAGGGGTCCCTTGCCTGGGCCTAAAGTGAAGCCCACGATTGCGGGGCCGCTGCAGCTGCGGGTCCCCGCTGCCCGAGCCGGACACCTCAGCCAGAGGCGTCCTGCAGGGGCAGGGGCGGAGCCCGCGCGATCGTGGTGCCCCCCGCTGCCACGGCCGGACACCTAGGCCAGAGGCGTTAGGCCTGGGCAGGGGCGGAGCCTGCAACCGCGGGGAGCTGGGGGTCCCCTGCCCAGGCCTGACACCTCTGCCGGAGGCCTCAGGCCTGGTCAAGGGGCCGATCCAGTGATTGGTGATCGGAGGGTGATGAGGGTCAACTCCTCTGGCGGAGGCGTCAGGCCTGGGCAAGGGGCCGATCAGGCGATCGGAGGGTGATGGGGGTCTACGCCTCTGGCCGAGGCATCAGGCCTGGGCAAGGGGCTGATCCTGCGATTGGAGGGTGATGGGGGTCAACGCCTGAGGGCTCCCAGTATGTGAGAGGGGGCAGGCTGGGCTGAGGGACACTCCCCGCCCCCCCACCCAGTGCATGAATTTCGTGCACCAGGCCCCTAGTCTATACTAATAAAAGCCTAGGTGGCCCTCGCGCCCTCATGTCGTCACAAGATGGCCACCATAAGATGGCCAGCAGGGGAGGGCAGTTGGGGCGATCGGGCCAGCAGGGGAATAGTTAGGCATCAGTCAGGCAGCAGGGAAGCGGTTAGGGGCTGATCAGGCAGGCAGGCAAAAGAAGTAAGGGGAATCAGGCAGGCAGGCAGGCAGGCAGGCAGGCAGGTGAGTGGTTAGGAGCCAGCAGTCCTGGATTTTGAGAGGGATGTCAGACATCCCCTGAAGGGTCCCAGATTGGAGAGGGTGCAGGTTGGGCTGAGGGACACCGCCCACCCAGTGCACAAATTTTGTGCATCGGGACTCTAGTTTACCAATATTTTGATAAAGGATTTATAAAGCTCTTACATTAAAACCAAGAAGAGCGTCAAACTGAGTTTGAATAACTGGAAGTGTGTTTAGCAGGTCTTTAGTATTCATATTTCTCATGAAGCCATCCAGCCTATAAAAGATCAAAGAAATTTATAACATTAATAATTAAGAGTTTTAGAAGCACTATGACATCAACATCTTGAAATACAGTTGTTGTTTTTACAAACTACATATTAGAGCACATATGTATTTCTGTATTTCTTGCTTACAAACTAATGATATTTACTGACCCTCTCTTGGTTTTGGTGACATCATATCCGATCAGTCTATATGCGAGTGACTTTTCATTCAAAAACCTGCTGTATCGTCTGATGAAGGTGGACATGGCGTAGCCTAAAAAGAAAATATTTTCATTATTTCTAATTTAACCAATATTAACCATTTGCAATATCTATATATATACATATAAAAAGGCAGCTACCCTAACGGCCATAATAACCTTAACCTAACAACTGATCACTATGATGCTCACTGTGGCCAGCAAACTGACCCAATCAGAGGGTGGGGTCAGCGGCCAACTTCACGGCCCCTCCCCACTGCTAGCCTGCCCCTGATCGGACTCTCCCACCACAATCAAAAGTGGGGCCTGCCGGCCAAACACCCCCACCCTTCCCACCTCCCGCCAGCCCAGCCCCCAATCAGCCTGCCCCACCACGATAGGCCCACCTCTGATCGCACCGCCCCTACCCCAATAGGGAGCAGGGCTGGCCAGCCAACTTCCTGCAGCCCCTCCCCTCAGCCAGCCACACCCCCAATGGGCCCCCACCACCCTGATCAGCCTGCAGCCCCTTTTCCCCAGCCAGCCCCAGCCCTGATCACCCCCCCCCACCTCAACAGGGGGCATGGATGGCAGGCCAATCTCCTGCAGCCCCTCCCCCCAGCCAGCCCCACCCCAGATCAACCCCCCACCCCAATCAGGGGCAGGGCCAGCTGGCCAACCACCCATGGCCCCTCCCCCAGGCCGCTGGCCCCTGATGGGCACTCCCCACCCACCCTGTTCAGGGGCGGGGGTGGCCAGCCCACCGCCCACAGCCCCTCCCCATGGCTGGCCCAGCCCAACCTCTAGGCTGGCTGGCCAACCTCCCACCATCTCTTCCTCCTGACAGGCCCAGTTCTGATCCCCCCTGATTGGAACCAGGCCAGCCGGACCCAACCCATACATGAATTCGTGCACTGGGCCTCTAGTATGTCAATAAATGCAAAGACCTCTTATTCCACATTCACCCATATACCTCAACAATTATCTTTAAAGTACAAAAGCTAGAATAGCCTTTATTAATCATCTAGTCCAATATTCCTCAAATTTCTACTGATTATTTTTTATTTCCTCAAAGCCTTGATATAACTTCATGATGTGGTGCTGATGGTGACATTCCTGAACAGAGGAAATAATTAAACTTTATCGATTTTTTTCACATTTCTACAAAAACTATTGTAAATTCTTAGCATTTTTCTAAAACTCCCCATCTCATTGTAGTCATCCCTTCCCTACCCTCCCTCCATGCAGAAAATGACCTTGTTCCCTACTTCATAGGCAAAATAGAGAAAAAGGGGCCATGAAGGAAACTCAACTTCTCACTACTCAACTTCCAAACATACCTTTTTTAAAAATATATATATTTTTACTGATTTCAGAGAGGAAGGGAGGAGAGAAATATAGAAACATCAATGAGAGAGAATCATTGATTGGCTGCCTCCTACACGCCCCACACTGGGGATCAAGCCTGCAACCTGGGCATATCAAACCATGACCTCCTGGTTCATAGGTTGGCGCTCAAACACTGAGCCATGCTGGCCAGGCTCAAACATACCCTGATTCATTTATTCAATTTATTTATCCATTCAACTGCCAACTGAGCCAGGCACTGTTCTAGATGTTGGAAATTCAGCAGTGAAAAAAAATAAACAAAAATCCCTGTCCTCGTGGTGCTTATATTCCAATGTAGGACTCATAGACAAGCAAAAGAAAAGAAAAACGCAGAGATGGCTAGTGAGAAGTGGAAAGGATAAAACTCAGGCAGAGAGGGGACATAGGGTTGTGCCACGATTTTTGGAAGACTGAGCAACGAAGGCTTACTGAGTAAATAGTGGACAGTTCAGTTTCCTCTGACTTTAGCACGTAGCATATTCTGTTATTCTTAGTAAGTATTCAAATATTTTGTACCAATGAATTTAGAAATTATTTACCATTATAAAATGTGTAACGCACCACACCCTTTATAATTTAGAAGCATTTTCTTTTTTTTAAATATATTTTATTGATTTTTTACAGAGAGGAAGGGACAGGGATAGAGAGTTAGAAACATCGATGAGAGAGAAACATCCATCAGCTGCCTCCTGCACACCCCCTACTGGGGATGTGCCCGCAACCAAGGTACATGCCTTTGACCGGAATCGAACCCGGGACCTTTCAGTCCATAGGCCAACGCTCTATCCACTGAGCCAAACCGGTTACGGCTAGAACCATTTTCTTAAACATGCATGATTTTCAGAACTTTTCCCTCCTTGCCACGTAGAAATATTTTTTTTTTACATATATTTATTGATGTTAGAGAGGAAGGAAGAGGGAGAGAGAGAAAGAAACATCAATGATGAGAGAGAATCATTGATCGGCTGCTGCCTCCTGCATGCCCCACACTGGGGAATGAGCCTGTAACCTGGGCAGGTGCCCTGACCGGGACTCGAACCCTGACCTCCTGGTTCACAGGTCGCTGCTCAACCACTGAGCCACGCTGGCCGGGCCACATAGAAATATTTCCATAAAAGAACCATCTTACCTTCTACGACACTGTTATCCAGGAAGCTGTGTAAAGTGAACAAAGAGCTTCGAGATGCAAGATGACGGATAAAACGCTGTCAAACAAATGTGCCAAATCCAAAAATTAGTTTGTCCACAAATAGAGTTCATTAATGATTTTGTCATTGGGAATGAATTCTTAACATAATTCTATCCTACAGCTTCTATATACTTCATGAGCATTAAGGTGAGCAGGATCATATCCTGAGCTACACAGCATAAGGGCCTGCAGTGTTGTCCTCTGTGCATATACCTCCCAAGTACATAAAGGATTAAACAGCAAAGCTCATGTGTATACGCATGCTTCCCCCCACCCCCAAGACTTTCTATCTAGCCATTCCCCCTTTTTGATTTTTGGAACATTTACTTAATTACAGAATTGATTATTTTAATTAATAGTAAATCACTTAATACTTTAATTTACAGAAAAATAAAATTTTTATACATCTGTGTACCCCACCCCACTACCCAGAAATGACAACTGCTTTCTGACATATTTGTTTCTTCAAGTCTATTTTTAAAATAAGAGGATTAAAGTATTACAGATAAAGTTAAAAATGCCCTTTAGCCTCATCCTTCAGGTCAATTTCCTTCTTCTACCTGAAGATACCTGTATTGTGATTTTAATGTGCTATCTTTAGTCTATTTTCTTTATAGTGTCATATATTATTTATTCCATGGAAAATATTAAGTGCATTTTAAAAATTTATATAAATGATATTATACTCTACCATTTTATAACTTGCTTCCTCTATTAGCATTGCTTTTTGAGATCTAGCCTCGTTGGTATAGATTGTATTTCGTGCAGTGTAGTATTTCATTGTATAAATGCACCTCATTTTGGTTATCTGTTCCCTATGATTGCTATCGGGGTGATTTCTTCTTTCTAAATATTATAAACTAGAGGCCAGGTGTATGACAATTCATGCACTGGAGGGGGGAGTCCCGCAGCCCGGCCTGCCCCCTCTCACAGTCCAGGAGCCCTTAGGGGTGGGAGGCAACTCGGCGATCAGGGGAAGGCGATGCCCCCATCACACCTCTGTTGCTGCCACTGCCAGCAGCACAAGCCTTGGCCGGCCTTAGTTACCTGAGCCTTGGGCAGCCCTGGGCGGCTGGGCAGCTGCCATCCGAGGCTTGCCTGCGCCTCAGGCTGACCCTGGGCGGCTGGGCAGCCGCCATCTAAGGCTTGCCTGTGCCTTGGGTGTCGGCTGGACAGCTGCCATCCAAGGCTTGCCTGCGCCTTGGGCTGGCCCTGGGCGGCTGGGCGGCTGAGGGGACTGGGGGACTCCAGGGGCAGATGTGCAGAGCAGCTGGACCCGCCTAGGGGCGGGCCCGGCCTTGCTGCATGCCTGCTGCCCCCGTGGGGCTGAGAGGACTGGGTGCCGCCATCATTAAGGGTGTGGCAGTCAATTAGTATATTCCCTTTATTGGCTGTGGGCGCTGCCATCTTTGTGAGGGCCTGATGTTCAATTAGCATATTCCTTCTTTATTAGATAGGATATGCTATGAGTAGTGGGCTTGCTGGGTTGCTGGGCATTTTCAGTTTTACTAAACATGTCTCAATGCTTTCCTTTGACAGTGATAAACTGCAACAACTAATATTTACATGTCATCTAACATTTTCTTAAGGTCTTCACAACTCTTGATGCTGCCATGCATTTTCAATTTTGCTTTTCTGAGCATGTTCTCTGATGGTTATCAGCCATTCTGGTTTCCTTTTCTATAAATTCTGTTCGTTTTTTTGTTCATTATTGCATTGTACTGCCCTTTTCTTATGGATAATGCATTCTGAATATCAATCTTTTGTCTGTAATATATAAAATCTTATTCCAACTTTATGGTGTCTTCCCTACTAAAAGGTCATCACCATATTCTCCTACATTTTCTTTGATTTTAAAATTTAGGGTTTTGCATATATAGATATTTCCTTCATGTGGAATTTATTTTGGTATAAGGATTAAAATAAAGATCTCATTCTATTTTCTCTATATGAATGTTACTTGTACCAAAGACTTTATTTTAAATTCCATACATTCCCCCAAGCTCCCATACAAGCAGAGTTCTACTTCTGAGCTCTCTCTACTGAGTTCCATTTATAAAAATGCTCTATTTTTATCAACACCATATTATGCAATTACTGTTGCTTTATAATAAGTTTCAAAATCCAGGAAATTTCTAAATCCTAATTTTTTTTAAAAAAATTTTTAATGACTTCAGAGAGGAAGGGAAAGGGAGAGAGAGAAAAACATCAATGATGAGAGAGAATCATTGATTGGCTGCCCCCTGCACACCCTACACAGGGGATTGAGCCCGCAACCCAGGCATGTACCCTTGACTGGAATCGAACCTGGGACCCTTCAGTCCGCAGGCCGATGCTCTGTCCACTGAGCCAAACCAGATGGGGCTAAATCCTAATTTTTTAATGCAAAGCTTACTGAGATAAAATGTTAATTTGAAGTAGAAAATAATTTGTTATAGAACACTTCAGTTGTTCTATAAAATACAAAGAGTGTTGTATGTGAGGTGGACAGGTGATGTAATATACTCAGGTATCGAGTTTCTCCTGGTAAAGTAAAGCAGTTAGGTAGAAATACATTTATTAAAAAAATCTTTATTGTTGAAAGTATTACATATGTCCCTTTTTCCCCTCATTGATTCCCTCTAACCCACCCCCACCCGGCTCCAGGCCTTTACCACCCTATTGTCTGTGTCCATGGGCTATGCATATATGCATACAAGTTCTTTGGTTGCTCTCTTCTCACCCACTCCTACCTTCCCTCTGAGATTCCGCAGTCTGTTCTATGCTTCTACATCTCTGGATCTATTTTGTTCATCAGTTTATTTTGTTCTTTAGATTCCACATATGAGTGATTTCATGTGAAACTTGTCTTTCTCTGACTGGCTTATTTTGCTTAGCATAATACTCTCCAGGTCCCTCCATGCTGTCTCAAAGGGTAAGAGATCCTGCATAGTATTCTATGGTATAAATGTACTATGGCTTTTTTTATCCACTAATCTAATGATGGGCATTTGGGCTGTTTCCAGATCTTAGCTATTGTAAATTATGCTGCTATGAACACAGGGGTGCATACATTCTTTCTGATTAGTGTTTTGGGATTCTTAGGATATATTCCTAAAAGTGGGATCAAATGGCAGTTCCATATTTAATTTTTTGAGGAAACTCCATATTGTTTTCATAGTGGCTGCACCAGTCTGCATTCCCACCAGCAGTGTACGAGGGTTCCCTTTTCTCCACATCCTTGCCAGCACTTGTTATTTGTTGATTTGTTGATGACAGGCATTCTGACAGGTGTGAGGTGATACCTCATTGTCGTTTTAATTTGCATCTCTCAGATGATCAGTGACTTTAAGCTATTTTCATATGCCTCTTGGCCATCTGTATGTCCCCTTTGTACAAATGTCTATTTAGGTCCTTGGCCCATTTTTTAATTCTTTGTCTTCCTTTTGTTAAGTTTCTTATATATTTTGGATATTAACCCTTTGTCAGATGTATAACAATACATCTTTAAGGGCTTTCTCTTTTTTGGTCTAAATCAGTGGTTCTCAACCTGTGGGTCGCGACCCCTTTGGCGGTCGAACGACCCTTTCACAGGGGTCGCCTAAGACCATCCTGCATATCAGATATTTACATGATGATTCATAACAGTAGCAACATTACAGTTATGAAGTAGCAACGAAAATAATTTTATGGTTGGGGTCACAACATGAGGAACTGTATTTAAAGGGCCAGAAAGTTGAGAACCACTGGTCTAAATCATCTAAAGAATTGAGTGAAATATCCAATCTATTGTCCACTTTTTTATCCAGTAGCTAAAGTAATAGTATGTACCTCAAATACTGATTACAAAGATAGTCATATGCAAAAAATGAAAAAAAATCAGTTTTTCTAATACCCACTGCTATTACTTCCCCTACTTGTCACAATTGAAAGTAAAAGGTGGTTAAGCCTTTGCCAAACCAAGAACGTTTCTGCAGTTGGAAAAGACTACCATTGTATAAACACCACACTCACCTCGTTTCCATGCACCATAAGGTGATGAACAGTAACCAGGGCTTTGAACACCACTACCCAGCTGCTGCTCTTCGCCTTCTGAGAAAGAACATCTGCCAGGCGTTTGACACCCATGTTTGATGCGTTAATGTAGTGCGTGAGATCTAAATCAGAAGACAGTGACAAGCATTACAATGCAGGCTGAGAACTAACTTTCAAAACCAAAATCGTTAGCTTTACTGGAAATCCAGATGCAATCAAACCTCAGAGAACAAAGGGAATACAGAACATTTTCTGCATTATAAGTATCAATTTGTAATGACATATTACATGACATTTAATGCCTGTCTATCCTATTGCTCTATATACTTGATGATGGTAGGGACTGTGTCCGATTTGGTCACCACTATATTCCCGAGACCCAGCACAGTCGTTGCTATCTAATGGGTTATGGTAAATAATTGTTAAGTGAATAGGACTCAAGAAGGTAAAGTAACAGCCCTAACTGGTTTGCCTCAGTGGATAGAGTGTCAGCCTGAGGACCAAAGGGTCCCGGGTTTGATTCCGGTCAAGGGCACATGCCTGGGTTGCGGGCTCGATCTCCAGTAGGGGGGGTGCAGGAGGCAGCTGATCAATGATTCTCTCTTATCATTGATGTTTCTATCTCTCTCTTCCTCTCCCTTCCTCTCTGAAATCAATAAAAATATTTTTTTAAAAAAAGGTAAGTAACGGACATACAAATACTTAAGTCGCAGGGCTGGGCTTTGGAATCAGGTTTGTTTGACCTCGGACACCAAGACATTAATCATTACGTCATACTGCCTCTTTTTTTAAATATATATATTATTAAATATATATTTAATATATATTATTAAATAAAATATATAGATTATTTCAGAGAGGAATAAACAGATAGAAACACCAATTGTAAAAAAAGAAAAAGAAACATCAAGTATAAGAAGGAATCACTGATTGGCTGCCTCCTACATGTTGGACTGAGCCCGCAACCCAGGCATGTGCCCCCAACTGGGAGAGAACCTGGGACCCTTCAGTTCTCTCCACTGAGCAAAACAGGCTAGGGCCATACTGCCTCTCTTAAGGAAAGTGTCATACCATGAAGGTTCATGGCAGTGTCTTTGCAGTGTCTGTAGTGTCACTTTACATCTGACCTTTTATTTTTTTAATTATTACCCGAGGGTATTTTTCCATTGATTTTTTGGGGAGAGTAGAAGAGAGAGGGAGAGGGAAAGACAGAGAAACATCATGTGAGAGGCCACCCATGATCGCACCCCCCACCTCAATAGGGGGCAGGGCTGGCCAGCCAACTTCCTGCAGTCCCTCCCCTCGCTGGCCACGCCCCTGATGGCCCCACCACCCTGATCGGCCTGTAGCCCTTCCCCCTGGCCAACCCCGCCCCTGACCCCCACCCCACCTCAATAGGGGGCGGGGGGGGGGGGTGCGGGCTGGCCAACCTCCTGCAGCCCCTCCCCCAGCCAGCCACGCCCACCATGGGCCCTCACCCCCATGATCAGCTTGCAGCCCCTCCCCCAGGCCAGCCTCCCCACACCAATAGGGGGCGGGGCTGGCCGGCCAACCTCCTGCAGCCCCTTCATCTGGCTGCCCCACCCCTGGCCACACACCCCCACCTCAGTGGCGGGTGGGGCTGGCCAGTCAACCTCCTGCAGCCCCTCCCCCTGGCCGCCCCACCCCTAGTCACACCCCCTCCTCAATGGCGGGTGGGGCTGGCCAGTCAACCTCCTGCAGCCCCTCCCTCTGAAGGCCCCACCCCTGGTCACACCCCCCACCTCAATGGGGGGCGGGGCCAGCCAGCCAACCTCCTGCAGCCCCTCCCCCTGAAGGCCCCACCCCTGGTCACACCCCCCACCTCAATGGAGGGCGGGGCCAGCCAGCCAACCTCTTGCAGCTCCCCCCCCCAGATCAGCCCCTCACCCCAATAAGGGGTAGGGCCGGCCAGCCAAGGACCCATGGCCCCTCTCCCAGGCCGCTGGCCCCCAATCGGCCCCCCAACCCCAATCATGGCGGGCCCTTTCCCCAGCCAGCCCGGCCCTGATGGGGTCCTGACCAGGGGGGTGGCAGCTCCCGCCATCTCCTCCTCCCAACAGGCCCAGCCCGGATCCTCCCCGATTGGGCCAGGCTGGCTGGCAGGACCCCACTCATACACAAATTCCTGAAATGGGCCTCTAGTATATATATAAAGAAAATTAACTTGTTTCACTTAGTGAACTGTTAGTTGCTGTGATACATGTACATTGTCATGAGGATCAGATAACATTTCAGAAGGCAAATACATATTAAGTCAATGGAGTTTTAAAGGAAAATACCAAAAATACCAAAATAAGAGGTGATCAAAAGAATGAGTCAGTTATGAAGGTTTTAAAAGCAGTAGGATTTATGTATATAGCCAACAGCACATATTTATAAAGTCCCTACTCACAATGGACTCAAACAATAGGGAGTGGGGAGATCTCTTCTGTCTTTGAGCAAAAGCTAACTGTAAGAATCAAAATTCTTTCCCCTGGAAACATTCACAGGGAACACAAAAAAGGTTGCCATGGAAACCCTAAAGCCTATTCATGAAACTTAAATTAGGATTGCCTATGGGAAGATCTGCTTTTTTTCAAAACTTTTTCAACTTTATTGTTGAGAGTATTACAAATGTCTCCTTCTTTCCCCCTCCCATTTGACCTCCCCGGGCGCTCTCCCCAGGCCTTCCAGGCACCATTGTTTTTCCATGGGCTATGCATATACGCATATAAATTCTTTGTTTAATCTCTTCCCCCATCCCTTCTGAAATACATCAGTCTGTTACCTGTTTCAATGTCTCTGGATCTGTTTTGTAGTACATCAGTTTATCTTCATTAGATTCCACATAAAAGTAAGATTGTATCATACTTCTCTTTCTCTAACTGGTTTATTTTGCTTAGCATAATGCTCCCCAGGTCCCTCCATGCTGTCTCAAGGGGTAAGAGATCTTAATAGGTTTTTTAAAATTTATTTCAGAGAGAAGGGAGAGGGAGATAGAAACATCAATGATGAGACTCATTCATTGGTCAGCTGCCTCCCCACGGCGCGTACTAGGGGTGGAACCGGAAACCGAGGATGTGCCTGACAGGGAATCCAACCATGGCCTCCTGGTTCATGGGTGGATGCTCAACCACTGAGCCACAGCAACCTGGCAGGGAAGATCTGCTTGATAAACTTTTCCTCCCTTTATTTCAGAAGACCCACTGAATGTCATGGGGCCTGGGGTGGCCTTTGGAATTGAGACTTTTCGCAGAAGCCTGTGTTGTTATTCCCCCACCTCTTGTGCCCTAAGCTACTTGAATAACTTCTAGTTTGGAGTTTAAAAGTCCAGTAGTTCTCTTCTAGGCCCAATCAAAGGTGACCAGTCCTACAGCAGCGAGGAGTGGGGAGCGGAAAGCCGGGAGGGGGAGGGGAGGGGAGTGGGGTACCACCCACCCGCCATTTAGAGGCCCTCAGATCACTAGACTTCCTACGCCTCCTCCTTCAGTTTGGTGAGTCGTCCCCACTGGACCTTCTACTCACCATCTAGGTGTCTCGAGTCTGGTTCCACGAGCTCATCCTTGGTCGCTTCGAGGGCAGCCTTGGACACAGATGACCCCATGTGTGCGTCGTAGACGGCCGGCCACGAGGGCGATGGCTGCTGAAGTGTGGCTCCTCCTCTTCCTGTCGGCCGACTGAGCGGCGGCGGCGGCGGCGGCGGGCCGGACTGAGCGACGGACCACACCCCCTGGCAACGGGTGAGGCCCCTACTGTGACGAAAGAAAGGCCTGACCTGCAGTCAGCTTGCACCTTGGTGACCTTTTCACAGACCCTGAGGCAGACCTGCTGCCTTATGACGTGGGATTTTTCAAATGTGAGGCGGGAGACATGTTTCTGCAGGGAAACTGGGAAAGATGGCCGTGGGTCCCAGAACGAGGCCTAGGGCGGGGCAGCTCCTGAGAGGCCACCGTAGAACCTTTGCTTACTTAGTAGACACTCAAAACACAATCAACAACACCATGGAATGAATAGGATGACGAAGGGGGATATTGGGGGGGGGGGGAACCAGGAAAGCTCTGGAAGTGGCCACGTGATAGTACTTAGGGAATCCTTTGTGAGGGAGGCTTCGATCACACATTATGGGAGCTATATCCTGCCTGAGGTGATGTCCTCATTCAGCATCAGATATACCAGTCCTTACAGTTTGTTTAACAGTATTCCTTTGTTATCCTTTGAATGCCTGCGTAATCAGTAGTGATGTTACTTCTGAGGTTCTTGATATTGGGAATATTTAAGTCGTCTCATTTTTATCTTGATAGATCTGGCCAGAAAGTTATCAATTTTATTGATCATCTCCCTTTAGGTTTCGTTGATTTTTCTCTATAGTCTGTCTAATATTCCATTTATTTCTCTTCTTATCTATATTATTCTCTGTCTTCTGCTTGCTTTCACTTTCTTTTGCTCTTTATTTTCAGGTTTCTTAAGGTAGGATAGCTGACTGACTTAAGATTCTTGTCTTTTAATAATATACGCATTTAGAGTTAAGCACTGCTTTTGTTGCAAAGAACATATTTCTGATGATTTCAGTGAATTAAAACTTGTTATTTTGTGGCACAAAATATGCTCTATCAAGGTAAATGTTCTGAGTAAAATTTTCTTGAAAATATTCTAGTTTTATATACTTGGCCAGCATACATACAAAATTGCAAATACTAAATGTAACGATGACCTTTAAATTCTTTATTTTGTACATATGTTGGAAGTGTGAATTTTTCATCTATAAGAAATTGTATTGAAGTGTTCAGTTCACCTTCTTACACAAAGTTATGCCTACCCTGGTTTGAACATGAAATGTATGTGTTCAGAAAAAATTCAAAAAAAGTAAATTGTTTTTCAATTACAGTTTACTTGCAATATTATTTTATATCGATTTTGGGTGTACAGATTAGTGGTTAGGCAATCATACACTTTACATAGGTTTCCCCTTAATACTTCCAGTATCCAACTGGTACCATACAAAGTTATCACAATATTACTGACAACATTCCCTATGCTTTACTTTATTTATTTATTTATTTATTTATTTATTTATTTATTAAATTATTAAATTTTATAAGTATTACAATTAGTAGTACATATGTCTCCTTTTTTTTCCCCATTGACCTTCCCCTGGCCTCCCCTACCCCCGCCCCTAACCCCACCCCCCATCCTCCGGCCCCCCACCACCGCACATGCCCTCAACCCCCTCCCAGTGTCTTGCGTCCATTGGTTATGCTTATATGCATGCATACAAGTCCTTTGGTTTATCTCTTACCTCCCCCCACAACCCTCCCCGGCTTTCCTGCTGTAGTTTGACAGTCTGTTCGATGCTTCTCTGCCTCTGTATCTATTTTTGTTCATTAGTTTATAATGGTCTTTATTATCCATAAATGGGTGAGATCATGTGGTATTTTTTCTTTTTCTTTCACTGACTGGCTTATTTCACTTAGCATGATGCTCTCCAGTTTCATCCATGCTGTGGCAAATGGTAAGAATTCCTTCACTACTTTATTTATTTTTAAATATATTTTTATGGATTTCAGAGAGGAAGGAAGAGGGAGAGATAGAAACATCAATGATGAGAAGGAATCATTGATCGGCTGCCTTCTACATGCCTCCTACTGGGGATTGAGCCTAAAACCTGGCTATGTGCCCTGACCAGGAATCCAACTGTGACTTCCTGGTACATAGGTCAACGCTCCACCATTGAGACATGCTGGTTGGGCCCCTATGCTTTACTTTCTTTTTTAAAAATTTTAACTTATTTTTTAATTAATTTATTTTTTACAATATACAAAATAAATCTATTACCAGATTATAGATACAAAATAGCCATTTACATGCAACAAACATTAATATTTCAAAAAAAACGATTTTAGCTGTAACCAGTTTGGCTCAGTGGATAGAGCGTCGGCCTGTGGACTGAAGGGTCCAGGGTTTGATTCAGGTCAAGGGCACATACCTTGGTTACGGGCACATACCCAGTAGGGAGTGTGCAGGAGGCAGCTGATCGATGTTTCTCTCTCATCAATGTTTCTAACTGTCTATCCCTCTCCCTTCCTCTCTGTAAAAAATCAATAAAATATATTTTTTTAAAAAGAAAAATGATTAAATACAATAATGTTACATGCAATAATATTAATATTTTAAGAAAAACAATTTTAAATATAATAACATTACCTGCAATAAACATTACTATTTTAAGAAAAAAGATTTTAAATATAATACCAAAACTGTACTAACATAGTATAATATCACAAAAGTTGTAGGAAATATTAAAAATCTGCAAATAGCCCTGACCGGTTTGGCTCAGTAGATGGAGCGTCGGCCTGCGGACTAGGGGGTCCCAGGTTCGATTCTGGTCAGGGGCATGTGCCTTGGTTGCGGGCACATCCCCAGCGGAGGGCGTGCAGGAGGCAGCTGATGGATGTTTCTCTCTCATTGATGTTTATGGCTCTCTGTCCCTCGCCCTTCTTCTCTGTAAAATATCAATAAAATATATATTTTTAAAAATCTGCAAATAACAGGCTTATTTCTATTATATTCTAAATTTTTTTTCCTATGGCTCTATTTTTGTTCATCAGTTTATGTTGTTCATTATATTCCACAAATGAGTGAGATCATGTGGTATTTTTCTTTCTCTGACTGGCTTATTTCACTTAGCATAATGCTCTCCAGGTCCATCCATGCTGTTGCAAATAGTAAGAGTTCCTTCTTTTTTACAGCAGCGTAGTATTCCATTGTGTAGATGTACCACAGTTTTCTAATCCACTCATCCGCTTGCTGATGGGCACTTAGGCTGTTTCCAACATCTTAGCCATGGTGAATTGTGCTGCTATGAACATAGGGGTGCATACATCCTTTCTGATTGGTGTTTCTGGTTTCTTGGGATATATTCCTAGAAGTGGGATCACTGGGTCAAATGGGAGTTCCATTTTTAATTTTTTGAGGAAACTCCATACTGTGTTCCACAGTGGCTGCACCAGTCTGCATTCCCACTAGCAGTGCACGAGGGTTCCTTTTTCTCCACATTCTCGCCAGCACTTGTCGTTTGTTGATTTGTTGATGATAGCCATTCTGATAGGTGTAACATGGTCCCTCGTTGTTTTGATTTGCATCTCTCGGATGATTAGTGACTTTGAGCATCTTTTCATATCTCTTGGCCTTCTGTGTGTCCTCTTTTTAAAAGTGTCTATTTGGGTTCTTTGAGTATAGCCCTGGCTGGTGTAGCTTAGTTGTTGAGCATCACCCCATGCACCAAGAGGTTGCTTGTTCAATTCCACGTCAAGGCTGATGCCCAGGTTGCAAGTGTGATCCCCGCTGGAGGGCATGCAGGAGGCAGCTGATCGATGTTTCTTCTCTCTCTGTCTCCCGTCCTCTCTCTCTAAAATCAATAAAAAAAAATTTTAAATCCTCACCTGAGGATATTTTTCCATTGATTTTTCAGTGAGAGTGGAAGAGAGAGGGAAAGACAGAGAGATATATCAATGTGAGAGAAACACATCAATTAGTTGCCTCCTGCATGGGCCTGGGCCGGGGAGGAGCCTGCAACTGAGGTACGTGCCCTTGACTGGAATCGAACCCAGGACCGTTTGGTCTGCAGGCTAACGCTCTATCCACTGAGCCAAACAGGCTAGGGCAAAAAAAAATATTTGAAATAATAATTTTCTGAGTACAAATCTTTTATCTCATTGATTAAATATATTCCTAGGTATCCTATTTTATTTTTTTGAAGCTATTGTGAATATATTGTCTTCTTAGTTTCCCTTTCTGATAGTTCATTATTGGTGTATAAAAATGCAACCAATTTCTGGATATTTATTTTGTATCCTGCTACTTTACTGAATTTATTTATCAGTTCTAGTAGTTTTTGGTGGAAACTTTAGGATTCGCTATATACTGCATCATTATCATTTGCAAATAATGAGTTTTCCTTCTTCCTTTCCAATTTGGATGCCTTTTATTTCTTCTTCTTTCTGATAGCTGTGGACTTTCAGTTCTCTGTTGATAAGAGTGGTGAAAGTGAAAATCTCTGTCTTGCTGTGATCTTCCGGGAAATGCTTTTAGTTTTCCCCATTGAGTATGATAACTGTAGGATTGTAATATATGGCTTGTATTGAGATGCGTTCCCTCTGTTCCCACTTTGCTGAGCGTTTTTATCTTAATGGGTGCTGGATTTTATCAAATGCTTTTTCTGCACCAATTAATATGATCTGATAATAGGATTCTTATCACTCGTGATGTGTAATGTTGTTTTTGTTTTTTGTTTTTTTTAAAAATATATTTTATTGATTTTTTACAGAGAGGAAGGGAGAGAGATAGAGAGTTAGAAACATCGATGAGAGAGAATCATCGATCAGCTGCCTCCTGCACATCTCCCACTGGGGACACGCCCGCAACCCAGGCACATGCCCCTGACCGGAATCGAACCTGGGACCTCTCAGTCCGCAGGCCGACGCTCTATCCACTGAGCCAAACCGGTCTGGCACGTGATGTGTAATGTTAATTGATTTGGGGAGTATTGTACCAAACTTGCACCCCAGGAAAAAATTGCATCTGATCATAGTGTATGATCCTTTTTAATGCATTGCTAGATTCAGTATACTCCATATTTTGTTGAGGATTTTAACATCTATGTTTACCAGGTAGGGCCAAGTGGTGTTCACCAGATTGATACAGATTCAAACTCTGTGCCAGTACTGGGTCTGAGACCACTCAGCAAAAGTCCCGGGGTACACTAAGGCCAGCAACCACCCACCAGGTACACGCAGACCTTTTTGATGGGACAGGGTCTCAGGGAGTCAGCTAGGTGAAGCCAGCAGAGTTCATCAGACCCCAACAGACCAAAATTTGGCCATGTGAAGTTAGGGCTCTGCAGAGACATGGTGGTTTCAGTCAGGCATGTGAGGGAAAGATGGCCCTTGCCCTAGAGCAGTGGTTCTCAACCTTCTGGCCCTTTAAATACAGTTCCTCATGTTGTGACCCAACCATCAAATTATTTTCGTTGCTACTTCATAACTGTAATGTTGCTACTGTTATGAATCATAATGTAAATATCTGATATGCAGGATGGTCTTAGGCGACCCCTGTGAAAGAGTCGTTCGACTGCCAAAGGGGTCGCGACCCACAGGTTGAGAACCGCTGCCCTAGAGCCACACAACTTTCTCTCCTAGATTCTGCCTGGACCTACTCAAAAGCCTGAGCTCAGCAGGCAGGGACACCAGGAATCAGGAGGGTGGGGCTAGTGAGGGGGCGGGATGCAGGGCAGACTCGTGTGAAGTGGGGGAATGGCCCGTGCTCCAGAGCCACACAAATCAGTCTCTCCTGGATTCTGCCCAGACCACCCTACCTGGTAAAAGAAATAGACTTACAAGTCCAGGAAGTGCAGAGGGTCCTAAACAAGAGGAACCCAAATAGGCCCACACCGAAACATATCATAAAGAATCTTAAAAGCAATAAGAGAAAAGCAGTTAGTTACCTACAAGGGAGCACCCATAGGACTGTCAGCTGATTTCTCACCAGAAACTTTGCAGGCCAGAAGGGAGTGGCAAGAAATATTCAAAGTGATGAATAGCAAGGACCTACAACCAAGATTACTCTACCCGGCAAAGGTATCATTTAGAATTGAAGGTCAGATAAAGAGCTTCTCAGACAAGAAAAAGCTAAAGGAGTTCATCACTACCAAACCAGTATTACATGAAATGTTGAAGGGTATTCTTTAAGAAGAGGAAGAAGAAAAAGATAAAAAATATGAATAATAAAATAGCAATGAATATCTAGCTATTGACAACTGAATCTAAAAATAAAAATAAACAAACAAGGAATCTAATGAACAAAATAAACTGATGAATAAAATAGAACCAGAGGCATGGAAACATGGAACAGGCTGACAAATCTCAGAGGGAAGCAGAGGGTGGGTAGGAAGAGATTAACCAAAAAACATATGCATATATGCATTACCTATGGACACAAAGAATAGGGAGGGGTGGGGCAGGAACCAGGTGGAGGGGGATAATGGGGAGGAAAAAGGAGGACATCTGTAATGTTCTCAACAATAAAGATTAAAAACAAAAACCAGCCCTGACCGGTTTGGCTCAGTGGATAGAGTGTCGGCCTGTGGACTCAGGGGTTCTGGGTTCGATTCCGGTCAGGGGCATGTACCTCGGTTGCGGGCACATCCTCAGTGGGGGATGTGCAGGAGGCAGCTGATCGATGTTTCTCTCTCATCGATGTTTCTAATTCTCTGTCCCTCTCCCTTCCTCTCTGTAAAAAATCAATAAAATCTATTTAAAAACAAACAAAAAACCCCCACAAAAACCAAACCAACATATTGAAAATGGTATAATACTCTTTATTAGACTGCAGACTGTACCCAGTTTCACATGATACAATGGTACAATACTCCTTATCAGATTGCAGAACTTATTCAGATTTTACATGCATTCATTTGTGAGTATGTGTAGTTTTAGCACATATTTGAATTCATTTAATCAACACCACAATCATGACATAGAATTGTTCCATCACCACAAAGGAACTGATTGTGTTATCCCTTAATAGTCACACATATCCCATACCCCTCCAGTCCCTTCCTGGTCACCATTAATCTGTTCTTTGTTTCTATAATTTTGTCATTTCAAGAATGTTATATAAATCAATCATACCTATGTGACCTTTTGAGACTTTTTTAATTCATCATGATACCCTTAAGGTCCATTCAAGTTGTGTGTGTCAATAGTCTATTCCTATACATTGAATAGTAGTATTCCATAGTATGGATGGTTGGTTTAACCACTCAATTGGGGGACATCTGGGTTGCTTCCAGTTTTGAGCTATTACAAAGAAAGACACTAAGAAGATTTGTGTATAAGTTTTCTTGCCAACATAGTTTTTCATATCTCTGTAATAAATGTACATGAGTTCAACTGCTGGGTCATATGGTACATGTATGTTTAACTTTATTAAAATTTCATTTTTCATTTCTATCAGCCAAGGATGAGAAATCCAGTTTATATGTTCAACAGCATGATATTTTCAATATCTTTTCTTTTAAGCATTCTGATAAATGTGTAGAAATACATCATTGTGATTTTAATTTGCATTCTCTGATGACTAATTAAGTTCAACATCTTTCCATGTGCTTACTTGCTATCCATTTATCCTCTTTAGTGAAATTCATTTAGCCTATTCACATCTTTTGCAACTGGATTGTTTGTTTTTACTGTTATGTGTTCTAGATTGATCAGATATATGATTTGCAAGTAAGTCTCAATTTCTTCCTCTTAAATTTTTTCTGAAGCAAAAGTTTTTCATTTTGATGAAGTCCAATATATCAATTTCTCCTTTTAGGATTGTGCTTTGAGGGTGGAGGCTGAGAACTTGTTGCCTAGTCCAAGATCCTGAAGATTTTTCCATGATTTTATTTCTAAATTTTTTACATGTAAGTTCATGATATAGTTATGTTGATTTTTGTATAAGGTTTGCATTTTATGCCAAAGTTCATTTTTTGCCTTTGGGTGTCCAATTACTCCAGCATCAACTTGTGTTGGTGGTATAGTGGTGAGCATAGCTGCCTTCCAATTACTCCAGCATCATTTGTTAAAAAGAATATCCTTCCTTTACTGAATTGCTTTCATAACTTTGTCAAAATCAGTTGGGCATATACCTTACCATCTGATTACTCTTGTTTTATAGTAAGTCTTCAATCAAGTAATGTGAGTCTTCCCACTTTTTCTTCAAAATTGATTTAGCTTAATTAATTTTACACTTGGATATTTTCATTTTTTCCTATAGGGAGACAAAAAGAGGGAGAAGAACTGTGGCTGTGAGAAACTAGGGAAAATATAGCGTTTATACTGCATATGCCCTAGTGTAGTGGTTTTCAAACTTCAGCATGCCTTAGGGTCAGCTGGAGAGTTCATGACAATTTCTGGGCCCCACCCCTAGAAATGAAGTTTGACCTCCAAGTAATTCTGGTGCAGGTGGTTCTGGACTATACTTTGAAACATGAAAAACAATAACCTAAGAAGAAATAAGAAACAAAACAAAAAACAACACTTTGTTGTTGTTGGGATTAGGGCTCTTTTTGTTTACTTTCTACCTCCTCCAGGAAGTTCCCCCTTTTATTTCCAGTATGCAATAGGCTTGGCTCTTTTCTGAAGACCACATTTGTGGTTACATAAGAATAATGTAACAGAACATTTTTAAAAAATATATTTTATTGATTTCAGAGAGGAAGGGAAAGGGAGAGACAGAAACATCAATGATGAGAGAGAATCATTGATCAGCTGCCTCCTGCACACCCCACACTGGGGATGGAGCCCTCAACCCAGGCATGTGCCCTTGACCAGATCGAACCTAGGACCCTTCAGTCCACAGGCTGATGCTGTACCCACTGAGCCAAACAGGTTAGGGTGCAACAGAACATTTTAAAGTATCGTTTTTGTTATCTCCTAAATCCTAAATATTTCTGGAAAAACACATTTATATTATAACTAGAGGCCCAGTGCAATTCATGCACCGGTGAGGTCCCTCAGCTTGGCCTGCGTCCTCTTGCAATCCAGTACCATTCAGGGGATGTTGGAGAGCCGGTTTTGACCTGATCCCCACAGGCCAGGCCAAGGAACCCCACTGGTGCACGAATTTGTGCAATGGGCCTCTAGCCTATAATAATAAAAGCGTAATATGCATATCAACCGAACAACCAAACAGCAGAACGACTGTCAGGATGAACTTCTGGACGACCACGCTATGACATGCACTGGCGCCAGGCCAGCCAAGGAGAGTGCAAAGCAATTAGTCGGGGTGGCCCGCCATTGCCCCATGATCGCCCCGCAGAGGGAGGTCCAGGCCACCTTCTGTGGGGTGATCGATGGGGGGGCTCCAAAATCGATCTCCCTAAAGAGGGAGGCCCAGGCCACCGGCCGGCGGGGAGATCAATTGGGGGGGGGGGGGCTGCGATTGCCCCAAAGGGCCTCCCTTTGCTGGGCGATTGATCTGGGGGCCCTGCAATGGATCACCCCAAAGAAGGAGGCCCAGGCTACCTGGCCCTCTGTGCAGAGATCGATCGCAGAGCCCTGGCCAGGTGGGCGGGGCCTCCCTCTGCTGGGCAATCAATCTGGGGGCCCTGTGATCGACCGCCAGATTCATCAGTCTGTTCCACGTTCCCATGCCTGTGGTTTCTGCTTCTGCGTTGAGCGTCTGCCCCGATGGTTAGTGCGTGTCATAGCTACCAGCCAGTTGGCCAGTCACTTAGGCTTTTGTATATAGACTAGAGGCCCAGTTCACAAAAATTTGTGCACTCCGGGGGAAGGGGGTCACTCAGCCTGGCCTGTGCCCTCTCGCAGTCTGGGACCCCTCGGGAGATAACGCCCTGCTGGCTTAGGCCTGCTCCCGGGTGGCAGAGGGCAGGCCCAATCCCTAGGTGCAGCCCCTGGTCGGGCTCAGAGCAGGGCTGACTGGGGAGTTGGGGCGCCACCCCCTGTCATGCACAGAGCAGGGCGGATCGGGAGGTTGCGATGCTACCCTCAGTCATGCTCAGGGTAGGGCCAATTGGAGGGTTGGGGCACCGCCCCGTCACACTCAAGGCAGAGTCGATGGGGAGGTTGTGGCGCCACCCCCTTTCACACACAGAGCAGGGCCCATCGGGGGTTGGGCTCCTTACCCTGTCACGCATGGAGCAGGGTCGATCAGGGGGTTGGGGAGCTCCCCCCTGTCACGCACAGAGCAGGGCCCATCAGGGGGTTGGGGAGCTCCCCCCTGTCACGCACAGAGCAGGGCCCATCAGGGGGTTGGGGAGCTCCCCCCTGTCACACACACAGCAGGGCCCATCAGGGGGTTGAGGAGCTCCCCCCTGTCACACACAGAGCAGGGCTGATGGGGAGGTTATGGCTCTACCCCAGCACACACAGAGCAGGACCCGTGGGGGGGGGGGGTTGTGGCGCCGCCCTCTATCACGCACAGAGCAGGGCCGATCAGGGGGTTGGGGCACCGCCACTCTCACACTCAGGGCAGGGCTGATGGGGAAGTTATGGCTCTACCCTGTCACACACAGAGCAGGGCCTGTGGGGGGGGGGGACGCGGGTTGGGGTGCCGCACCCTGTCACACACAGAGCCTCAGGGCGATCAGAGGTTGGGGTGCTCCCCCGTATCAGGCACAGAGCAGGGCTGATCAGGAGGTTGGGGCGCCTTCCCCTGTCACAAACAGAGCAGGGCGGATAGGGAGGTTGTGGCCCCGCCCCCTGTCACACACAGAGCCGCAGGGCGGTCAGGGGGTTTGGGTGCTGCCCCCTGTCACGCTGATCCCGGTGCTGGGAGGCCTCTCGGCTCCGCTGATCCCGGTGCTGGGAGGCATATTACCCTTTTACTATATAGAATAGAGGCCTGGTGCATGGGTGGGGGCTGGCTGGTTTGCCCTGAAGGGTGTCCTGGATCAGGGTGGGGGTCCCCACTGGGGTGCCTGGCCAGCCTGGGTGAGGGGATGATGGCTGTTTGCAGCTGGTCACACACCCTTCAGGGTGGGGGTCCCCACTGGGGTGCCTGGCCAGTCTGGGTGAGGGGCTGAGGGCTGTTTTCAGACTGGTGGGTGACGGAAGCTCCCAACCGCTCCTTTTTTCTTTTTTCTTTTTTCTTTTATAATTCTGGGCCAGCTTTAGCTCTGAGGCTCCAGCTCTTAGGCCTCCGCTGCTGAAAGTAGGTATCTGGTTTGTTTCGGTTCAAAATAATGTATAACTCCAGCTCTGACTCCAGCTCTGAGATCCCAGCTCGCTGAAAGCTGGTTTCTGGGTATATTTGTTAAAATGTTTCAAACTGCAGGCTCAGAGGCCTGCAGTGGCAGGCGGGGAACGTTGGTTTCCTCCATCACTGAAGCGAGCAAGCCTCATGTTAGTTTCAAGCTGCCTGGCTGCCTGCCGCCATCTTGGCTGGCAGTTAATTTGCATATCTCCCTGATTAGCCAATGGGAAGGGTAGCGGTCGTATGCCATGTTTCTCTTTTATTAGATAGGATAGATGGAAATTCTTAGGTAAATAGAATCTGCTTGATACAATTTTACTTCAAATATGCTAAAACTCATCTATTGGGTTAGAAAGACACCAATGTAGACTCCACTTTGATAGGTATCTCAGAATACATATTTCAATTAAATCCTGCACTAAGAAAAAAAAAAGAATACATATTTCAGAGATCAAGAAGAAAGACATAATCCTTGTGTACTTGTTTACTTGTGCAACATCATAACTACAAAACTCAAACATTAAATACTATTCTTCCTTCAACTTGTTCTAGGGAGTGAGTGTATCTGAAAATGAAAACAAATATTTCCAAGTTAAACAAGGAGAAAATAAGCATTTAAAATATATCCCTCAGATACCCAGGGAGTGGGAAATGGCGACCAGCAGGAAGGTAGGGAGGGAGAGAGTGTGAGAGCGCAAGGAAGTGATAGAGGAGTGTGTGGACGTGTGTAGTGTGTGTGTATGAGCTAGGGACAGTTAGATTCTGCAGGTCTTCTAAGGGGCTGCTAAACCGGGCAGTCTTAGGCGGCGGAGTCCCGCTCCCTGTGCGGACACTCCTGGGAGGCCAGCACAGGCACGGCGACCATGCCATCTAGGGAAACAGAGCTGCTGGAGACTAGGATCCTGGCCTTAGCACCACCCAGCCTGATCTCAGACGCATACCAGGACCCTGCAGCCACTGGGGACAGAGACCTGTGACCACAGCTACAGACCTGCGGACACCAAAAGTTCAGAAATCCCCGCGGCAGATCCGTGAGTAACAGAGCCCATCCCCCCTTCCCGCAGGCTTGCAGGCAGCGCCAGAGTAACTAACTGATAGAGCCACCCCTTGCTGGGGCCTCAGCGCTCCAGGAACTTTAGCCTGGAAGTGCACGAGCACCTTGGAACTGATCCCGCGTAGGGCCGGGTTCAGGAGTCCTGGGCTGGGAGCAAACGCGAGAACCCCAGGAACTGAGCCTACGCGCACTGCCGGCTTCTGAGCCCTGGGCTGGGAGCAAACACGCGAACCCCAGGAACTGATCCTATGCGCACTGCTGGCTTCTGAGCCCTGGGCTGGGAGCAAACGCGCGCGAACCCCAGGAACTGAGCCTACGCACACTGCCGGCTTCTGAGCCCTTGGCTGGGAGCAATTGCGCGAACACCGGGAATTTGTCCCACGTATCACAGGCCCAGGGACCCCGATTCTCTGGGCAGGAGGCAGCACCAAGCACCAGTGACTTGACTGTGTTTCTTATCACCTGCGCCTGAGATCCTGATTTCCTGTGCATTCATACTAAGAGCCAGTGACTCCAATTCCTGGTGCAAGGGCACACAGGGATCCTAATTCTCAAGGCAAGGTCGCGCGAAGCAACAGAGACTCTGATACTGGATTCTTGGGGAACTGTGACTCCTGGCGCACGCTAGGGGGCTCTGGTTTTCAACACGCTCCAGGGGGTTCTCTGTTTCAGCATGGTGCAGGCAGGGTCCCTGATTCTAAGGGCGTGTACGAGGCCACATTGAGCGCTGACAACACTGACTCTGAGCGAGCCTGGTTCCCACCAACCCACAACAACCACACATCTTAGTGTCAGAGCTCTTCAGTGACACTAGGGTGGTGGGAGGCTCCCACTGCACACGGCCCAGGCCCACACAACTCGACATTTGAACCATCAGGAGATAATCAGAATGAAGAGATGAAACAACACCCAGAGGAAAGACAATGAGGAGTCTCCAAGAAAGGAAATTAATGACGTTGAAGCATGCAACATGACAGAAAAAGAATTCAGAATAATGGTT